ACCAAAGCTTCTATGGCACTGTTGGCACTTTTTCTAATAATAGATCTACACATGACAGAAGTGTGAACACCCTAAATGTGATGTAAGACGTCATGTTAAAAATACATGTGTAATATATGGCACCAGGATTTCCTCAATATTGAAAATGCAGATGTAGTCCAGAAAATTAAAAAAATGTATTTACAGTATGATGTCATTACATCTGACAAATTGAAGAATAATCAAGACAAATCTAAAATATGTCATTACATGTAACGTACAAATTCTTCCGATAAATCTGCTTAACGTTTTGGAGCCAGTGTTTTGATGTTTTAGACATGTTTAATATACCTTAAAAAGTAATTTATTCCTTTCAGCAATCAGCAGTTTATTTAATATTCAAATGTCACAGGAGTTTGCAAAAATATTTTCAACATGCTAACATAACACTTAAACATTCCCAATTGTCAAAACACCTGTGCTCCTTCATATTTTCATAAATATTTTCAATCATGCTCACCCCAAAGCCCCTGTGTGCATCATCATTGCTGTGTGAGACAGCAGACAAAAAGATTCATTTCTATGGCATGTAGACAGATGATAAATACAGGGTCAAGGTGTTTAGTGAGTACATGGATAAGGAGGTGAAGTTACAGACAGAAACACGGTCTGTAAGAAGACGCATGTTCTAACTTGACTACAATAAGTGTAAAAACTGGAGGCAGGGCTAACTTGCATACTAGGCAGATAGGGAACATAACACAAACATCATGAGACTACGTGATAGTCTTCAGCAACTTTGTGGCTGTGTTGAAATGAAGCTAAATACTGTAAACCAAAAGCCTCTTGAGGGGGTACTGACACAACCAAAAAGGTTTCCGTAGTGAAGATAGCAAGACGCAGTACTTTCGATTGTGGTTTCACAATGTAACCCAAAACAAAACCACTACGCTTGTGTGTTTCGATAATACTTAATGTTGAATGAATAGCAGTTATCTGGAGAAATGATGATAAAAAACTAAACAAGGCCATTGTCTAGTGCCGTGTTTCTCAACCACGTTCCTGGAGGACCACAGACTCTGCTCATTTTCCATAACCAAACACACCTTATTCAGATCATCAGCTCATTAGCAGAGACTGAAAGACCTGCAATAAGTGTTACAGACAAAGGAGACATCCAAAACATGCAGTGTTGGTGGTCCTCCAATAACATGGTTGAGAAACACTGGTCTAGTGGACCCTATGTGAAAACAAATGTTATAACCATTTTAAGCTTCAGATTTTAGATGGTCTCACAGCCTGGTCAAGCTGGTGTTCAATTGGTCAAGTCAAACAACAAGAAGGTGCTCCAAAATGTCTGTGCAGAATCCAGCTGAAACAGGCTGGAGGACCTGCAAACCAGCTTAAACTGGTTTAAGGTGTTGTTTTGAGCAGGACAGGACTTCGTGACCTAGTCTTGGACTAAATATTTCCTACAGAGGCATTAAAATGGGACCTGTAAATGGTTAACCTGGCCTTGCAGATGAAAGTCCTGCTATCCCAATAAACAATCAAATGTGTGTCATCCTATATTTAAGGCACACATGCCTCAATGTTTTTCCTCATTGCATCTTCACCAACATAAAAGCATCTAATCTTTTATTAAAACTATTTGAATATGTTTAAAAATGTGCCATCAATCTTTCTGGAATAGCTCTGCTAAGTTAGCAACCAAATGCTACACGAGTCAATCTGACATACCATTTAATCCTATTTCTCAGCTCAATCTAACAGCAATAGTCGCAATCGTGTCTGCAATTACGTTTTACATAATTAACGACCTCGTGACTTTAATTACCGAGGTATTAAACAGACTTTCACCACCTCAATCTCAGACACCATGCTAGCTAGTTAGCAGGGAGTTGGAGAGTGCCACGCCAGGTCATTGTTTACATTGCTGACTACCTTTGATTTTCACATTCGCCTGATCGCTCATTTACTATTAACTCTATGACTTTTATGCTGGAAAATAACATTTTATTCACATGCTATCGGTGATACATCAGCAATAAGTAGCACAGATAAGATGACACTTTTAAAAATTACCTAATTTCTTAAAGCTGTCTCCAAATCAAGATAACGTTAACACCGTTGTGATAATAATGCTAAAGATGGATTATTTCCACAAGGGTTTTATAAGTAAATTGTGTGTGTGTGTGTGTGTGTGGGTTTTACTTATTTATTCATAACGTGGCCTGCACAAGCTCTGCCCAACCTTACATTTCTAGCTACAGGCTCTTCTTCATCAATAAGTTGCACGATTGACCCAATTATATTTAGCATTATCTCTTACGGGGCAAACTGTTAAAAATCTATAAGTTAAAGTGATTTTTGTTTTAAAAATTCCTGCTAAAATATTTCCCCAGCTAGCATCAGTGGCTCACACATGCTAACGACAAAACCAACTGAAATTTCTCCAGCTATGCTGTAATAAACCACATTTTCATCCAAACGCAGGTAATCAGACCAACAATGAAGTGGATTCTTGCACTTAAAGCATTATATTCAACAGTAGTCACTGCTAATTTCCATGATCTAGACAGCCTTCCCCACCCACCCAGTGCACGAACAATGTCCCGGAGCCTCGCGCCATTCAATCAGAGCTTTCGGGCGAATTGTCGGGCTTACCAGATTTGAAGAATGTCGCTATATCGGCCGCGTCCTTAGCCGCCTCCTCGGCCCCTTCCCCCGAGCTCATGGCTGACGAAAAAACACACAAAAAAACTACTATCCAAATCTAAAGTTGCTGTTTTATTCCCCCACAGACAGAAGGATTTGGAAAAGGCGTCCTCCGCCTCTGTGTCTGAGCACTGATCTGACACGGACGGGAAAAGGATCACTTCTGAGTGCTGCTGGGGAACATCACAAAACCTCCTCCATCTTGGTTATAACACACATTAACAGCGCCGGCCGGCGGTCGGTTCTCCCGTGCGGAGCGGAGAGACGGCAGGGGGCGGGAGATCACCGCTGAATAACACTCTTTCCAGCTTTTTACCTGTTCTAGTGACCTTAACTAAATTATTTTTAAATTGAATTGCATACAATCTACATATCTACATATATATTAGATAATACTACTACTAATAATAAAATAACAAATATATATTATTATAATATAATATATAAAAAATCTAATATATAATATAATAAATATAATATATAAAATCTAATACTCGAATAATAATAATTATTATATTTATCATTATTATAATTTATTATATAGTAAATAATAAAATAATAATATTAATTATTATTAATTAATTATATATATATATATATATATAAATATATATATATATATATATATATATATATATATATATATATATAATTTTATCATAATAATTATAGGTGGCTTATGCGTTTATTATTATTTTTCATTATTATTATGTTTAAATAATACAATTTGTCAGAAATCTTCCTGACTTTTTACTTGTGGATATATAAATGGGTGTATTAGAACAAACTGCATTGGAAGATTTATATATACATTTATTTATTTAATGTGTATTTATTCATGTATAGTTTTATTTATGCAGGAATTTGTGTATTTATTAATTTATTTATTTGCATATTTATTTATTTATTGTTTTTGCAGGTTTTATGCTCCATACCCAACAGCGGAGTGAACCACCAACTTATCCAGCATACATATCATATGGATATATATATATATATATAGTTGAAATCAGAATTATTAGCCCCCCCTCAAATGATGTTTAACAGAGCAAGGACATTTTCACAGTATGTCTGATAATATTTTTTCTTCTGGAGAAAGTCTTATTTGTTGTTTTTCAGCTAGAATAAAAGTAGTTTTTAATAATAAAAAATAATTTTTAGTTGAAATTATTGGTCAAAATTATTAGCCCATTTAAGCTGTATTTTTTTACCCTAACTTGCCTAGTTAACCAATTTAAATTAAACCTTTAAATGTCACTTTAAGCTGTATAGAAGTATCTTAAAACATATTTAGTCAAATATTATTTACTGTCATCATGGCAGAGATTAAATAAATCAGTTATTAGAAATGAGTTATCAAAACTATTATGTTTAGAAATGTGTTTAAAAAAAAGTCTCTCCATTAAACTGAAATTGGGGAAAAAATAAACAGGGGGCTAATAAATCTGACTTCAACTGGATGTATATATATATATATTTCAGGTGAAAAGTTAGATCATGATATGCTTCTGTTTTTCAGTAGAATTTATGTAATTTATCCCACAATTGTTGAATCACACTGACATCTGGCGGGTAAAACTGTGAGTGCACTGGCTGACATTCTACTCAGTGGCCTGTTTGAAGGAAAGTGCATGCTTCTGCATTTCAGGCTAGTGTGATTTCACAAAGTAGGCCATATTCCTGGATAAACATCTATTTTGACAATGAATGAAACAACGTTTCAATCAGATTTCAGGGATAACTTTAGGCTTACAGTTAGGGGTTTGTGCTTCTGCATCAATGCTATCCACCTGTTAATCCCCTCTCATTTCAAAATAATTTCAAGTTAGGGGTTATATTACATTTTTGCACAAGACTGATGTTCAGGGATCAACATAGTTGTTAATCCAGTATTGCATTCTACTTGGGAAAATCACAATCACCATCATACAGAAGTTAAATATTCATTCATTCATTCATTCATTCATTCATTCATTCATTTATTCATTTTCTTTTTGGCTTTGTCCCTTTATTAATCAGGGGTTGCCACAGCGGAATGAACCGCCAACTTACCAGCGGTTTTTCGCAGCGGATGACCTTCCAGCTGCAACCCATCACAGGGAAAGTTAAATACTTATTTAAATGAAATATAATAGAGAGAAAACAGTCATAAATTGTGTCCTAGATATACATTAAATGGTGACTTAACATTTTACATAACCAACAAACGTCAGCTTGTGAACTACTAAACGGTACTTATTTCTATATTATTCAATTTATTTTGTTTTCGCCGAACCACTAGGTGGTACAAACCTTTTTGTAGCAAGAGAATTTTAACACAGAAGAAGCCGAAGACGAGAGCGGCCTAACCTAAAAATTACGTTTCACCAATTTGTTGTTGTTATTGTCATCGTTTTTTGCATTATCAAGTAAAATATATTAATATCAGCAGCATTAAAGTGTTAATTCGCTAAAATACAGCTTATTCGACGTTGCGGACAGGCGTAATAGTAGGTATGTCGAAAATGATTTATTACGTAACGTTAGATTGTCATGATATGCTAAGTATGCTACATTTGCGCATTGCTTTGGTTTAGTTTGGTTTAATGCACAACATATATACATAACTAAATTGAAACAATCTGTTTTCTTTTAGTTTGCAAAGATGACTGATTTACTGACAGTGTACGACGACGACCAGGCCAACTCTTTCATTGACTGCATGGTGAATCCTGTTTATTTTAATTCGGATGCTCATATTCTCCCTGTTTGTTATAAAGTAATATAAAGGCAATGGCCTAAATGTGTGTGACTAATTTATATTTCTATCTTTGATCCTTAGATCTGCGAGAAAAAAATAAGGGGGGACACCAATTACAAAATCCACGTGACATCAATGCAACACTTAAAGGTAAGCAGAGACAGAATATAAATAAGGATATTTAAAAATAATAATACTCACTAATATTTAAGCGTTAATTCAGCTTATTAGATTTCTAAAGAATCAAAACACTGGAATGGGTAGATTAAATATTAAAATATACTGTAATATTTAAAATTTTAATTTATGTAAAATTTGAAAGTTGTTTTTTATAAATATAAATTGCATTTCTCAGTACTATTTATTTCATAATTAATTTCCAGTAGTTAAATGATATTTATGATTTAAAGGAGAGAGGTTTGTCAAGTATCAAAACAATAATGTTGTGTATTTAAATACTACTAAACAGTCTTGTAAGGTATATTTAGAATAATCTATAATAACAATTGCAAAAATTAATAATTAATTGTAATTTTGAAGCTTTTTACATTGCTACTATCCTTCAAAACACAAGGTCTCACCTATTAGCAAAATGTTTATTAAGTGTTGTTTTTTTTTACAAAAAAATATATCTGTTTTCATATTAGTTTGGAGTTTTTATATTCATAAAACTTATCTGAAACATCAGACACTTTGTAAGTTCAGTTTGATGCATACACGTAAATGGGACATCTCGTCTTTTACTGATGTGTATTTCTTGATTAAAGAGATAGTTTAGCCAAAAATGAAAATTCTGTCATCATCATTTACACTTTTTCTAAACCTGTTTGAGTTTTTTTTTTCTTCTGTTGAATACAAAGCAACATATACTGAAGAATGTTGTGAGGAAAAAACAGCTTTGACTTCTGTAGTTATTTTTATTTCCTACTAGGGCTGCAGAATATATCGTTTTAGCGTCGACATCGCAATGTGAGCATCCGCAATAGTCAGATTGCAAAGATATGCAATGTTGAGTCTGGATAATAGTTGACTAGAAGCTACATATTTGTATTTAGAGGGTATCCGCGTGGTTTAAAAAGTCTTAAATCGCAAAAACTTTTTTTAGGCCTTAAAAGGTCTTAAATTTACTGAAGTATTGTGTTGAAGGTCTTAAATCTTTTTTTAAGCGGGTCTTAATTTTCATTTGTTCCTGTATAGCTACACAATCTGGCCAACACCTATCCAAACACCAACAATCCATCTCAAAACTTTGTATTTAAGAATGTCATTTTTAACTCTGTTTACCATAATGGTTTAATTAATTCCTTACAATAACAGTTTTTTTTAAGTTCTCCATGTATTTACTGCGTGTATTTAAGCTGTCATGGACAGACTGTTGTGCATACATTCAGTTTAATATAGTTTTCAAAACCTTTAAATAATTAATTAAAAAAAAGGTTATGTTGAAAAAAAAGTGTATGTATACAATTAGAGCTTGCTTCTTTTGACACAATATTAAAAACCTTTTGCTTAGAATTAGCTAGACTATATATATTTTTTAAATTATTACTATTATTGTTTTATTAAATTATATTTTTAAAAAACTAAATTAAAAATCTTTTCCAACTTGGCCGTTAAAAAAAATCCTTAGCGTTTAGCCCTTTATGAGTCTAAAATGTAATTCATAATGGTCTTAAAAATTTCTTTAAAAGTCTTAAATTTAACTTGCTGAAACCCTGTATTTAATCACTGTATTTATTTGGAATTTATATAATTTATGCAACAAAAAAATCTTTCTTTTTGTCTTGTTTCTAGTCCAAATAGCAAAAGTTCAAAGCAAAAACAAGATTATTTTACTTACCCCAATGGCAAATAATTTAGCTTGTTTTAAGGGAAAAACACTTTAATTTTTACTAGTTTTTTTTGACGGTGAAACCAAAACAATATTTTTACTTGATCTAAGAATTTTTTGATATTTGGACTAAAAAAAAAGAGACAGAAAAAGTAAGAAACGCATTTTGTGCATTGTGGTTATTCAATTTCTGTACCTGAATTATGTTAGACTCCCCAATAAAACATAAAATCGTGCTATTCAAACCATCCTGTGAAACTGTATTCATATCACAATATTTATTGCAGAAAAATAAAATATATAAAATATCAGATTTTTCCATTATCGTGCAGCTCTATTTCCTACTACAGATTACAATGGCTGTTTTTTCCAAATATTCTTCTGAATATCTTGTTTTGTGTTCAACAGAAGAAAAGAGACTCATAAAAACTGTAGAATCTGTTGAGTGACAGTAAATAATTCAACCAAACAATTGTTTTGGTTGAACAATCCCCTTTAAGTAATTGGTTATTTGTAGATAATTGTTATTATAAATACCTTTTAACTGTTATTTATTGGATAACATATGCTAATTTTTGTCACAATTTATGTACAGCACAATGGTCAACAACTGTTGTTATACTGTGCTTTATAAATAAAGTAAGATTAAGTCTATTTGACAATATTTTGATTCTGTTTAATTCACTTTTCTGCTTCTTCAAGTTCAGGTCTTATGACAAATCAACCAGTGATCACCAATGTTTATTTTCAACATCTTGGAGTCTATATACGCAGGTTATAACCTTCTATACAGGTTATTTCTGCATTCCTTTACCAATCACAAAAGCTATTTTTACCTTTTCCATTCTTTCCATTCTGCTTTTAAGCAGATTAACATTAGATTTTTGAAGCATTTTGGGGTTTGATCGATGACATTTCTGTCTACATCTTTACTACAATTCCTTTGAGATGCCAGTCGCATTTCATTTTGAGGACCAAATACGCTTCATAGACCATTTTAATGGTCTACTACTTTGCCTTAGCAGCGGTTTTAATCACATGGACCATCAGTCTTCAGAAGAGATGGACACTCCTGTTCACTTCTGCGTATCTGAGAAAATCCAAGAGAACTCGTCAGAGCATCGTCACACTACTCCATGGACACTACAATGAGCTGTAGTTTGACAGGTGACATTGTGTATGGTTGTTGGTTGGGCAACAATACAACGTTCCTTCACAAGAAAGCTTTGACAAAAGCTGTTCCAGACTGATCGACTGGCCAAAAACATGACTGGTGTATGGCTTACTTTTTATGCACAAAAGGAAATACTGACCATGAAGTTATCCTACGTTTTTTCCTTTTTTGTGCTGAGACTTTTGAGGCTTTATAACTACTACACGTTCATGGGGTTCTTTCATTGTTGGAGCTTCTATCACTTAATTATTTTCTCTTAGAAACTGAATGGTTTCATAAAATATTATGGCGTATTCATATTCCCATTGTTGTCCTAAAGCCATCCATCCAGGAACACACTTACACTCTATGCGTGTTTCTAACTGATCAGATCCATCGAAATTGTTAAAATTGTTCCATTTACACAATATAAAGTATATCTCTGCAAAATGAGTATGAATTCATTCTTCATTTCTGTGGTGTTCATATCCCATAAGTCAACAGTTCTGTGCTGCATTATATTTATCATCAGCTGATTTCTAAATCAGAGATTCTTCAGGAAGGAGGGCAGGCTCACCACTGGTGATTGTTCACTGGCTGATATGTATTGGTTTTGATGACAATTTAACGTAAATTTGTCATATAATTTTTTCGACCCCAGAAAGAATAGCCACTACATTGATAGTGGCTAATGAGGGGTCTAAATAAACACACTAAGCACTAGCATTCACCACCTCTAGTAAAAATGGCTACGTTGAGCTTTATTGGCGACTGTTGTGTTTTATTTGTGAGTGTTTGCACTTCCGCTTTCTGCATGAGCTCATGTTTTATGGGCTATATCGCAGTAGTGTGGAGTCTAGCTATCGGGAGGTGATAAAGACTCTGACCTTTATTTATTGTGTTGGGAATTTCAACAACCAGAGTTTGGAATGATTCTCAAACCAACTCCTAATGGGGTTTTTAAATCCATTTTAAAGTCCACGTGAATCAGAAGTTGCTGGGGCTTTTATTTCGGTATGAGAATTGAAGTGGAATATTGAATAGTGGACACGGCTTTCTTTTAGCGAATCATTGGCTGTTTCTCAATTCCAAGAATGCAGAGAACGGACTTGCGTTCTTGTGAAGACCGGTCTTGCTAGGTGTCCTTGGAAGAACAAACTCAGGAGGCCGTGAAGACAGAGAAAGCGTCCTGTGAGAAATGAGATGCTGCGTTCTTCCTGATGGTCACATGACCCTCAAGCATCTTTAACCAAAAAATATATAAACGTTACAGCATTCATACAACAATTTATTGTTTTCCCCTATTCACAATATATACTATGTAGAAAGGCTTTACAAATATACGTTGCAAAGCATCAATAAAACAAATTTCAATACGAATTTTAGCAAATAAGTACCCTTAATGTGTTTATTAATTTAATATGATTTTCATGATAATGTTTATATTCACTGTTATATTTAGGGAAACTCCTGAGGTACATAAGTTGTACCTCTGAACTTAAATAATAAACCTATAAAATGCTGCGCTTCCCATCTCCAGTCGCAATAACTTCTGGGACTTTCAGAGCGAGTTAGGTGCTCAGGTCTGCATTGGTGTCCTCGATATCAAGAACACATTCGGGAGGTTTCACGCGTCCTCCATTCTTGTGTATTGGAACTGAACTTTGGCAGTTGATGATGATGTTACATGAGGACGCAAGATCGCTGAAGAATGCATATTGAAAAACAGCCATTCTCTTGTAGCAAACTTGACGGTAAGAGAGGTGCGGTTAAGAATATTTTTGCTGAAGCCTTCAAACTGACATCAGAGAAAGACTGACACTCCAAATGCAGAAGGAAATGGTCAGACTTTGATCGAAGATTACTAAAACAAAATGTTTTTAAGTGGATGAGCTTGCACTGATTAACTGGTCACTTAAAGAATAGCAATGTGCACTGGCAAAATAAACATTGTAGATTTTGATTTCACACCCACATTAAATGCACTTCTGAGGGGATTTTTCAGTTCTTCAGCTGTCAGATCAGAGGAAGTGCCAAAGGGACCAAATGTCAATTTTTATGTTTGGCACTACCTTTTTTTCTGAACAACTTATCAATTATATTCTGTCGGGACCCTTCCTTATTCAAAACTCTTCTTCTTTTCCCCGTTTGTGGCACATTACTTTGCAACTTATCTGAAATTCCTCATTATTCATATTTTTATCATTATTGTTTTCCTGAACAAGGGAAACCCAACTTCATGGATTGCTTCTGGAAGCTGTGGATCACTTTCTCCACATAGATTGCTTTCTTTTTGACATAACTTATCCACAGCAATTCACAAGACGCACAAGTGTCCTACAGAGCCCTTGGGGTAAAGTATAGTAATGATAGAAGAAGGTCTCCCCTATATCAGGGTTGGGACCTTGTACCATCTCAAATACTCTTTATTGCCTGTTTCTTTATTAACCTCTGTTTACTTTATTTCAGTATCGCAAGTAACTCTTATGAAGTGTACATGAGTAGAATGTATGCTCATCTCTGCCTCTTTTTCTTCCGCTGTTTATCTCTTCAAAGAAAGAGGACGCCCTTGTTGCGCAGGGTAAGTAGTGAAAATCCCACTTTGTCCAGAGTTGCTTTTTGTTTCTGTTTAACAATCTGTTGGATTTATCCAGAAAGTTCATATTTTTTCTTCTAAATAGTAGACTTTGTGTTTGTTAAATTGTTCAGACAGCGTTGGAATCAGTGTAATATAGAGGCGTGCGATTATTACGGTTTTTGATAATATGGTTATTGTTGTTTTAATGTGCGAGCTGACATGATCAAGGGGCTTACTGACTTTCTGAAAACAAACAAAAGCATTCATTGTGATGAAGCCTAGTTGTAATAAGCCAATAATTCCAGTTATGAAAGCATAAAAACATCCCTGGATTGGTTTATTAGATATAATGTACTTATCATACTTATCAATTGCTCATGACAGGCCTTTACCAGCTAAGTTCCTAAAATGTTTAGATATTTTTATTTAGTAAATATTGCGCACCTCTAATGTAATAAGGTTATGCTAAATGTAATTTCCTTTGAATTGTTCTTTGAGACATTTGTTGTGCTATTTAAAAGCACAACTCTTTATCTGATTGGGAAATTCAACAGAAATCTAACGGATTTTGTAAGTATTCAGTGTCAGGTATAATTCCACAGATTCAGTAGGGTTTCCATAGAGGAAGATGTTTTTCTACAGTGAAAAATAAATGGCCACCGGTTACAACAATGCTCTCAAAGGCACAGGAATCCCTGCAGATGAACAAACGAAATCATCACAAGAACTAAAGGCTGTCTTTAAAGTAGAGTTAAGACCTGGCAAGTACCGTTCTATTGATCATCGGTCATGGATTTAATGATGAAGAAAACGAAGCCACACGGACTTGAGATTTCAATGTATAAGTGGATTTTAATGGAGGCCATGCAGTATTGAGGAAACAAGAATAACAGTTTGTTATTCATAGAAGGATAAGTCTGTTAGTGCATTCTGTACAGGACATAAGGGACTCTCTGCTGCTGTATTGAAGTGTCGTTCCAAACCAAAGTGCTCAATATTGGCCACTTTGAAGGGCCCTTCTGTATGTAGGATTTTGAAGGGTAACACTGATGGACACTGACCCGCATCATTCTATGTGCAGGGAAGTTGTTTGATGTTGAACAGCACGTTCCATTCAGAAGGGCTCATCCTTATATCCTTATCCCTTTGAAACTGTCAGGTACATAGGGGACTTTTCCGGTTATTTTGAAGTTGACATGGAACTGAAATTGTATTGTCAGGCTTCTCAGTTGAGAAACGAACATATTGCGAATTAATTAGATGTTGTTATTGTAACAAAATTGATGGCCACCTGGCCATTGGAAAGGAGAAGGCGGAGAACTGACAAACTTTGGGGGTGGCAGGGTTTTGTTGGCATCACAGCAACGGTGACACCTGGGAATAATTGACAAGGTGAGATCAAACAAGATGGAGTAATAAGGAGAGACAGAGAGGGAACAAAGAGGAGGGGTTTGGTTCTCCAGACACGCTGCCTTTTGGTCTTCAAGCAGCTGAGAGACCCTCACTCGTGGTGCCTGGCTGCCCTTATACACTTTCGCTCTTTGCTCCTACCCATTGTGATGGCCAGCAGCAGGCTTTGGCACTTGGCAGTCGGCGGTGAATTTCCCTGATTATTTAGACGGTGATAACCCCCGTGTCTCCTGCTCCACCCCATTCCAGCAGACAGCCGCAGGTCTAATGTAATGAAATGTGTTTTCATATATTCACATTTATTCTGAATGGCCATACACCCAAAGCGCTTCACAATCATGAAGGGGGTCTCTCCACAGCACCACCAGTGTGCAGCATCCACTTGGATGATGCGATGGCAGCCACAGGACAACGGCTCCAGTGCGCTCACCACACACTAGCTACAGGTGGTGTGGAGAGATGGCAATAAAGCCAATTTAGTGGATAGGGATGATTGGGAGGCCATGATGGGTAAGGGCCTATGGAGGAAATTTGGCAAGAAGTGCCACAGAGAGTCAGGACCTCGGTTTAACGCCCCATCTGAAAGACGGCACCCACTGACTATAGTGTTCCCTTCACTTTTACTGGGGCATTAGGACTCACAAAGACCACAGGTTGAGCGCCCCCTGCTGGCCTCTCTAACACCACTTCCAACAGCAACGTAGTTTTCCCATGTGGTCTCCCATCCAGGTACTGACCAAGCTCAGCCCTGCTTAGCTTCAGTGAGTAACCGGTCTTGGGCGGCAGGGTGATGTGGCTGTCTATAAATCTGGTGAACGGGGAGGCACTTCCATCTCCTCACAGACAGCTGGCGACCCTCTAAGTTGCTGAGAACAGTGGCGAGTTTCGTCCTCCTGGCAAGCTCCTCCAATGCTGGCCTCGAGTGTCTATGGACGCAGACTCTGCTCCGACGACTCAACAGCACCATGAATATCCCTCAGCGCGAGGCCTTTCTGACAGCATGTTCGTCCTTTCTCCCAGATTTTGGCACCACTGTAACAAAGTTGATGGCCACCTGGGAAGAAGGAAATGGAGAACCAACAAATTTGAAAATTCTTTTTTAAGAAGAAAAATTAACAAACAGGCGTCAACTCCATACGGAGACTGCCACCACACTGAAAGCAAAAGTAAAAAAAAAAGTTGTCCAGGCTCTTGTCCTCCTCTTTGAGACTCGTGAGCGGGAAACAGGTGCCACTAGTTATCGATCGGGCTCTCTTTGTTTCCACGGCTCTCTGCCCCGCCCCAATCGCTTCAGCTGGTAATTGCTACAGTCGATTTATCAGTGAAAGTTTGCTTCAAGGGAAGGGTTGAAAGTCATTTGGACTATGAACAACCTATTTGCCCAGTGTTCTTGATTTTTATTCATTTATTCATTATTATTTTTTTAGTAATGCATACATAAATCATTATAATAGACATGTCACAATTCCATATAATGTTGGAATGAAGACCATGTACATGAACCCTGTGTTTATGGTTCACTTCAATCCTTTTGCCCCATTTTTAATTACATTTTTTCCCCAAAGGTTGGGATGAATAATATTTTTTTCATTAAAAACATATGCTGTAAATAGCACAGTGCACAGCAGATTTGTTTTTGTTTTTTAGGTGATGATGACAAAAAAAAAGGCATTGAGGACAACACATTCACGTTGAAAAAATAAAATCATGCGTGTGTTCAGTATGAAAGGTGCTTAAGTATACACTTCTACAGCATCTCATGTGCTGTATTGATGTTTGAGTGCTGGCTTCCACCTGTGTACCAGTTCAAAACACATGCAAGAGTTGCTGAAGGACGTTGCCAAAGTTTTTTAAGAATTAAGGGATCCAAGATGTCCATGTGGATTCTGGCCGGACCTTGAGCAGATTGGACAACTTGCTCTTTCCACAATTAGAAACCAGATTGTCTTTCATCAAGTGATGACTCCACATCAAAATCCGAAGATGTGTTTCAGCTCCGATTTAGTAGCAATGACTTTTAGGACCCAGTTAAAAGGTTGACATGAGAACGGTCACCTGCCAAGAGGCCTGTGGGTGTAAACCGGCGTTTATAGTCATCCAGAAGCATCTTTGCCTTCTACAATTTAATAGCAGGTCAAATGGAGTTACACACTGAGAGGAATCTTCATCAGCAAATTTGAAGGAATGTTCCACAACAGTTTATACCTTGTCGTTCAGTTGTACAAACAATCATTACTGTGACCTGACTTGTTTGAACAGGGTGGGCATGTTTATGTTTCAGACATTGTGTTACTTTGAAGATTCTGCAGAAGAAGAAGAAGAAAAATAAGATCTTTTAGAAAAAAATGCTTCGTGTTTTATGAGATTGTTTTGACCTTGCAGGACAGATTCCGAGACAGCCTTCAATGCCGGAATGGAAAGACATTAAACAATATTTGGAATATCTTCATCTTGATGAGCCCATCATTGGTAAGCTGGCTTCATTGCCAAAAATAAAAATAGTTAATGTAACAGTTCACCCAAAATGAAAACTCTGTCATCATTTACTCACTCATCCTCCACTTGGTCTAAATCTGTTTGAGTTTTTTTCTTCTGTTGAACACAAAGGAAGATTTACTGAAGAATGTTGGGAAAAACAGCCATTGACATCTATAATATTTTTATTCAATGGCTGTGTGGCTCACAAGGACTTAAAAAAAAAGAGGGACACCCAAGAAAGCCAAAATTGTATCATATTAAAACTATATAAACATCATTTATTAAAGAAACAGTTTTAAACAACTTAAAGTACAAATATGTAAATGTAGTAGTCAGGAATTAGTAGTGTTTCAGATGTACAGATGAAGTCAGAATTATTAGCCCCCCTGTTTATTTTTTCCCCAATTTCTGTTTAACGGAGAGGACATTTTTTTTTCAGGACATTTCTAAACATAATAGTTTTAATAACTCATTTCTAATAACTGATTTATTTTATCTTTGCAATGATGACAGTACATAATATTTGGCTAGATATTTTTAAGACACTACTATACAGCTTAAAATGATATTTAAAGGCTTAGCTAGGTTAATTAGGTTAACTAGGCAGAATAGGGTTATTAGGAATGTTATTGTATAACAATAGTTTGTTCTGTAGGTTAAAAAAATATAGCTTTAAAGGGGCTAATAATTTTGACTGCAAAATGGTGTATGAGAAATCAATAACTTCTAATATTCTAGCCAAATAAAACAAATGAGACTTTCTCCAGAAGAAAAAATATTATCAGACATACTGTGAAAATGTCATGCTCTGTTAAACAGAATTTGGGAAAATTAAAAAAAAAAGGAAACAAATTAAAAGGAGCGCTAATAATTCTGACTTCAACTGTAGGTGTGTGCATGAATATGTAATATAGTGTAGCAATGTTTGATGTACAACATAATTGAATATAACGCAACAAAACAAAAAGTCCAGTCGAAACACCAGCCAACATTTTAAAGAGTCCAAAGCAATAAATGATAGGTGTTTCCTATAGCAGTTAGATTAAGGTGGAGACAACTCTCAATCCCAACCAGACAGGCTTCTAGGTCATAGGACGTCACAGCTGTTTTTTTTTTTTTTTTTTACATCCTTCAGAATATGTTTTGAGAAGAATGAAAATTCATCAAAGAATTAGAATCACTTGAGTGCAAGTAAATGGTGAGGAGATAAAAAAAAACATTCCAATTTAACTCTTCCGCTGCCATTGATGACATTTTCCTTCTTTCTTTCGCCAGCTCTAACTATTTTTTTTTAATTATTGCCAGTTCACAGTGTACCAACACATTGTCAGGTTTTGTGTTTTGACCACCATACATCTGATCTTCATGTAGACTTTGACAAAAAAATGTATTTGTTCAGAATGTTGAAACCTGTCCACAAACAAGTATCCATAGGACTCCATTGTTTTGTTTTTAAGCAAATTTTGTTATCTTTCTGTTGATATATTATGTATTCTGTTTCAGATCATCAAACTAATTTAAATAATAATCAAAGATAACACAAGTAAACACATCATGCAGCTTTGAAACAAAAGATTTCATTGTTAAAGGTAAAACTACATGTGGACATAATGCAACATCTAAATCAAGTCATTTTAGGATGCCAAAGTCATATTTATGCATATAAAATGTTTTCCCAACAACAAAATTGTGGCTAGTGAGAAGGGTGAGTGGCTAGTAATGTTCGAAAACTACTAGCCACAGTGGCTGGTGACCAAGTTAATGTCAAGCCCTAAGTCACTTTACCCAACACTTGTTCAGACCTTAAATATTTTTATTTTAATGATGGCAGAGAAAGTGTTAAAAGTGAAATCACACACACACACATTAAAAAAAAAACCTATATCATGTTATTTGTCTGAGAAACACAAAATAAAATTTGCTGGAGAATGTTTTTGCTTGTACAGCAAAAGTTAATGGAGCCCAAGATAGCACTGTTATTTGGCCCCTTCTTTGTAAATCCAAAAATAAATATTTCTTAATTAAATATCTTTGTTTATTGTAAAAGAATAAAAGCTTTAAAATGACATGAAGCGAGAGAATTTTTGAATCGACCTATTGGATAGTTATACAAATAAAGCTCTAACTCTTCCTTCCTTTGCTCAGGTCTCAACTCTCTGGTGCAGATACCTGATCATGTCACTGAGGATGGCAAAAACGTGCTTAAGTACAAATGCCGAATGTGTTTTGTGGAGATGGACCTGTACAGTATGGTGACGCATATTGTTGGACGCAAGCACAGACAAAAATATTTGGTATTGTGGCTTTGGTCTTTATTTCAAATTGTGGTGAAGAGTGAAAAATAAAGTGAGCTACATTTAGATCTGTTTTATCAGGAGCTGAAAAGGCCAGACTTGGTGACCTGGAATGACAATAATCTGAAACAGCCGGGTCTCGTGGTCAGAGCCAAAGCTGCAGTCGTGGAGAAGCACGAGGGATGGGGAACCCCAGAGGTATTGACTTCTTATTAGATTTGCTGCTGCTTACATTTGTTTTTTGCACATTGCACTAAATATTATTGATCAGGCAGTCCGCGGGGTTTTAAAAAGTCTCTATGTCTTAAATTTCAAAAACAAAATTGTAGGCCTAAAGGTCTTAAATTCACTGAATAATTGTGTTGTAGGTCTTAAATCATTTTAAACGGGTCTTACTTTTACTCTGTCCAAGTAAAGCTACCCAATTGGGTCGACATCCATCCAGTCATCAAAAATCTATGTTAATAAAATCAGGGAAAGAAATCTAAAAACAATCACACAGTTCCTCATGATAATAACAGAGCTTTTTATCCCTTTACGTTATCTTCCATTCAAACAAAAAACTATTTAAGGGGGAGTAGACATAATATTTATAAATAAGCATAAAACTTAAGGTTTTATAACAGAAGCACATTAGGTTGAATAGAAGTTATACTTAATCAATTTAGGTAAAAAGCCAACAAATATATATTTTTTTGATTATTCATGTAATTGCCTCCTCAAAAAATATACTTTTAAGAATGTAAAAAAAAAAAAGACAGAAATATTGTGGTGGAAAAAACTTTTTATTTTGACACGTATGTCAAAATAAGAAAAACCTTATGTAGATGTGGCTCAAGATATTGAACTCGGGCATAATTTTTGGTGGCAAAACGGGCCATTGGAAATAATCATTAATAGCTGTTCATTGAGATGACGACAAGGTTTGTTTGAGATCGGGTTGACCATGGCTCGTTATTATATGTATACATTATTACGGTGTAATGTCTTGGCTGTGTTTTTAAAATTGGCCTTTGCTTTCATTCTCCTGGCTTGTTGCAGGAGCGAGTGACGTATCTCTGTAAACCAATAGTGTTCAGTTGTGCGTCTTGCTCCGCCTTTTGATACCCTTTTGATATGCTAGGTACCCTTTACAAAGGGTACCCAAAAAGTGGTACGGTATGGTTCGCTTTAAGGTACCTTTTGACAGTGGAAAAGGGCCATAAATTAGACCGTATCATAACACTCTGTGGAAATGGGCCATTATATTGACCATAATTTAGTTACTTTTTAATGTAAAAACTTATTTTATTCCCGCCAAACTAAAGTAAATAAGAATTTCTCTGGAAGAAAAAATAATATAGGAAATACTGAGAATTTCTTTGCTCTTTTGAACACCACTTTTTTGCATTCAATTGTAGTTACAGATGTAAACAGCCAATAATACTGAGCTTTAATGTCTTTTTTTAGCCACTCAAGCAACCCAAGGTTTACGAAGGTGAGTATTTCACTTTTTAAATCCTTTTTTCTTAAAGTAAAGAATTTATTTTGTCTGATTTATATAATAATAATAATAATTGTACGTATCAGGACTTAATTTACGGCCCAGTGTTCAACAACAACAACAACCCTACTATGGACAAGATGTGCATAGGTCAGCATCTTTGGATGTTTCTAAACAGACATATGTGAGTGAAGAGCAAGAAGGAGTATCCTATTACATTGATGAAAAGTACGGGCGTCAGCCATGCCCACAAGAAAACTGGCATGAGAGAGCATACGAAGAAACCGACCCTGGAGGAAGACCCTCACGAGAAGATCTGGGCAGAGGGAGACTTCGAGAAGAGTACGAAAGAGAACCGTACTCCAGAGCTGACAGACATGTGCCTATAGACGTCCAAGAGAAAACTTATTATGAAGGCGTGCCAAAAAACCGCTTCAATGATAAAGACCTGCGAGTCCATCAACCCGGAGGGTCGCATTATCAAAAAGAGCACATCCACAGCAGTCAGTATGGCGCTTACGATGACAGAAAGTCTGCTGGAAATCCAGTGCCAATGCATGGAAGAAGCTTGCATGACGAGGGGAAGAGGGGGACTGTCAGGGAAATGCACAGCAGGTCTTGGGACAAAGCAAGTGAGATGCAGGGATACTCCCATATGCATGAGCCAAATGCATATTCGATGGAAGACATCCCGGCGAAAAGGAAAAAGAAGAGCCGATTCTCTGACGCAACTGCTGAGGAAATTGCTTTCGCGCATATGAGGTGCTTGTAGATGGTTTTTCAGGGTGCTTTCACACCTAGACATTTGTTTCAGAAACTGAAAACATTAGCTGAGTTCGTTTGGGCATATGTGAAACCTGCAATCGCGTCAAACAATCGGTCCGAGATCGCCTGAATGAGGCTCGGTTGAAAACTAGAGAGGTTCGGTTGGTAGTGAGAAAGCAATACAATCCAACAAACCAGGCTATATCACAGTGTGCTATGGATATGTAATAGGCAAATATGGATATAAGAAGAAAGAATTATTTTTAAAATATATAAATATATATAATATCAGTAACTTTTTGGAAAACTCAACTTCTGATATAGAATCGATGTATATTTTACAACAAAATTTATGAGAAATTCGGATTTATATTTGGTGAGGATTATGTCTTGTGACTGTTTGAATTGGGGAAAATATCTGATGAAATTTGAATTTTTTTATTGATTTATTTTTTTTACGATTTCGATAAGCTTCAGCTCAATTACACTCCTCATATTGACCTTATTCTTCAATGCGGAAGTGCGCTCGTTTTTACGATTGTTTTAAAACTTCTGATTCAGTCGTCTATGGGAGAAATGACTAGGAATAATAAACGGTCAAACTACTCGCTCTACAAACAAGTGTCTTCATCACTATACGGACACAATAGAATAATATAATAGGAAAACATCAGTTTGCAACATCAACCAGCAAAACGAGCTGTTTTTATCATCTAAAAATGAATGGAAGTGAATGAGACCGGAAGTCCCGAGTCTCTGAAATAAGGATGCAGCCTCTGAAATAATACTGTAAAAGTGTACTCAATTGGCTAGTAAGACTTTTACACGCAGATGGCAGTCATGCATTTGCTCTGGGTGGGGGAAATTAAATAGTATATATTCATATCGCAGCCTTTTGCGATTAGCTAATGTTGCAAATTGCAATTGCGATTCTATTTCGATTCATTTCACAGCCCTACTATGTCTGTGGGCGTCACCATTCAAAATGAAAGATCGGTTGCACACGGTCTAGTCGCAGGAGTATCCGCAGCTCAATTCGAATCTGACTTTTCCGCATACGGAGATGATCGGAACTCCATGCAGCTTGTAAATAAATGACTTCCGGTCTGTCGCTTGTCATGTGCAGTGGAAAAGAGGCTTTAGGAAACAAAGAACGCATTTAGAGACTTTACTTGAAGGAGCCCTTGAATTTTTTTGAAATGAGACTGTCTTAATTGACGCAGCACCTTCGGAGGATGCAGCCTCTGAAATAAGACACCGCTTTTATAACCGTTTTAATGCCCGTTTCAGAACAAAACAATCGATCTATAGGCGTGAAAGCACCCTCTGTCAAATGCAGAAATGAAAACTTTTTGATGATGCGCAATGTGATGAGATTTGGTTGAAAATATTTGCTTATTTTGATTGTTTCAGACATTCTAATAAACATATTCCCAAAGAGCAGACAAGAGGACAACCAGGTAGAGGAGCGCCGGATAGAGGAGCTCCAGCTAGAGGAGAGCCTGTTAGAGGAGCACTGGATAGAGGACCAGCAGTTAGAGGAGAGCCCGTTAGAGGAGCACTGGATAGAGGACCACCGGTTAGAGGAGAGCCCGTTAGAGGAGCACTGGATAGAGGACCACCGGTTAGAGGAGAGCCCGTTAGAGGAGCACTGGATAGAGGACCCCCGGTTAGAGGAGAGCCCGTTAGAGGAGCACTGGATAGAGGACCCCCGGTTAGAGGAGCGGCGGTAAGAGGAGCACCGGTAAGAGGAGAGCTGGTTAGAGCAAATCCTCTGGTAACACTGCCACAAAACCCCTTTTGCTCTATGTAAACAGCAAGTTCAGTATAAAATTTTATATTTTTAAAGTAGACTACATTGAAATTATAGCAGTTTAGAGTTAACTTTCATTCATTCATTCATTCATTTTCTTTTCGACTTAGTCCCTTTATTAATCCGGGGTCGCCACAGCGGAATAAACCGCCAACTTATCCTGCACCTGTTTTAAGCAGCGGATGCCCTTCCAGCTGCAACCCATCTCTGGGAACCATCCATACACACTCACTCACAGTCATACTCTAAAGACAATTTAGCCTACCCAATTCACCTGTACCGCATGTCTTTGGACTGTGAGGGAAACCGGAGAACCCGGAGGTAACCCACGCGCACGAGGGGAGAACATGCAAATTCCACACAGAAACGGCATCTGACCCAGCCGAGGCTCGAACTAGCGACCTTGCTGTGAGGCGACAGCACTACCTACTGCGGCACCGCATTATCCACTTTCAAATATCAAATTTATTAAATTCTTTGAACATGACTGTTTAAAACAGTCTACATTGAAATGACAAGTAAAATAAGGACTTTTATGGTGCTGTATATCCTGGGGGTGTGAAGGTGCTTGGTTTAAAATTATTTGTGATTTAAAAAGTCTTTGATTTTGGTGTCCATGAAAGAGTGGGAACTAGGGCTGGGCCGATAAACAATGTTATATCGAATCGCGATAAAATTTATGTTGAAAACAATAAGCTCTGGACTCTATATTGATCCAAGAGTCAAAGACACAGCAGAAATGTGCAACAATGGGAATCTAGAAGATTGTTGATATCAGAGATGCACTGAATTTTTGGCCACCAAACATTATCGGCCACTGAAAATAGGTAATGCTATTTAATGGACCCTCTCATTTGTGGCTTCTGTTTATCTTTTAAATCTGGAAGAATTATAAACTGATTGAAATATGTATTGTTATTGTTCAATATGGTAAATAATTAAGCATTTTTGTCAAATCGCCCAGCGCGGGAACCCTGTATTTCTAAGAAAAAAATGATAGGAAATATTATCAAAAATCTCCTTGCGCTGTTAAATAATGTTTGAAAAGAATACAAATTTCTTAGAAGGGCTAATAATGTTGATTTTAATAAACTATATTGGAACAGACAGTCTAACAGCTAGTCTAGTTATATAACCGTGTGTGTAAATATACTCATTGTTCTCATTATTTCCTTTTTAATGTTTTACAGTCGAACCAGTTTGTGGATTCTGGAAGTGCATCACATCTTAATCAGAAAGATGACAGTGTGCTGGACATATTTGTGAGTGCTGAATATGTGACGAATGCACACGCACACAACCAAAAGGTTTTATCCAGTAATATTGTAGTTTTGATTTGATCATATGGTTCATTTACAGAACAACATCGAGATCGAAAATATGGAGGATGCCAGAATACTTAAAGAGAAGCTGTGCACGGTTTTAAAAGAGTTTCAGGCTGCTAAAACCGAACGAGTTGTGGTAAGCAGCACTGATTTTTATGTTCAGAACACTTTTCATTTACAGTGCATCCGGAAAGTATTCATAACAATTAGCTTTTTCCACATTTTTTATGTTACAACATTATTTCAAAATGAATTAAATTAATGTATTTCCTCAGACTTCTGCACACAATACCCCATAATGACAATGTGAAAAAAGAATTTTTGAAACTGTTGCAAATCTATTAAAATAAAAAAGCTGAAAAATCACACACATCAATATTCACAGACTTTGCTGTGAAACTCTAAATTGAGCTCAGGTACTGATCATTTTTGAGATGTTTCAGCAGCTTAATTGAAGTTCACTTGTGGTAAGTTCAGCTGATTGGACATGATTTGAAAAGGCATACACCTGTCTATATAAGGTCATGTCAAAGCACAAACCAAGCATGAAGACAAAGGAATTGTCTGTAGACCTCCGAGACAGGATTGTCTTGAGGCACAAGCCTGGGGAAGGTTACAGAAAAATTATTGCTGTTCTGAAAGTTCCAATGAGCACAGCCCCTCCATCATCCATAAGTGTAAGATGTTTGGAACCACCAGGACTCTTCTTAAAGTCTGGCCGGCCATCTAAGCCGAGTGATCGGGGGAGAAGGGCCTTAGTCAGGGAGGTGATCAATAACCTGATGGTCAATGTCTGAGCTCCAGCGTTCTTCTGTGGAAAGAGGAGAACCTTACACAAGGATAACCATCTGTGCAGTAATCCACCAATCAGGTCTGTATGGTAAAGTGACTAGACGGAAGAAGCTCCCTGCCTGGAATTTGCCAAAAGACAGCTGAAAGACTCTCAGACCATAAGAAACTAAATTCTCTGGTCTGATTCTTTGGAGTGAATGCCAGGCATTAAGTTTGCAAAAAACCAGGCACCGCTCATCACCAGGCTAATACCATTCCTACAGTGAAGCATGGTGGTGGTGGCATCATGTTGTGGGGATGTTTTTCAGCAGCAAGAACAGGAAGACTAGTCAGGATAGAGGTAAAGATGAATAAAGCAATGTACAGACACATCCTATATGAAAACATGCTTCAGAGTGCTCTTGACCTCAGACTGGGTGACGGTTCATCTTCCAATAGGACACTGACCCAAAGCACACCGCCCAAATATCAATGGAGTGGCTTTACAACAACTCAGAGAGTGTCCTTGAGTGGCACAGCCAGAGCCCAAACCTAAATCCTATCGAACATCTCTGGAGATATCTGAAAATGGCTGTACACTGATGCTTCCCATCCAACCTGATAGAGCTTGAGAGGTACTGCAAAGAGGAATGGGCAAAATTTCCCAAAGACAGGGGTGCCAAGCTTGTGGCATCATATTCAAAAAGACTAGAGGCTGTAATTGCTGCCAGAGGTGCGTCAACAAAGTGTTGAGCAAAGGCTGTGAATACTAATGTACATCTTTCAGGTTTTTTATTAGTAATAAATTTGCAACAATTTAAAAAAAATCTGTTTTCACATTGTAATTATGGGGAATTGTTTGTAAAATTTTAAGGAAATAATTGAATTTAATCCATTTTGGTATAAGACTGTAACATAAAATGTGGAATAAGTGAAGCGCTGTGAATACTTTTCTAGATGCACTGTAATTCAGCATAAATAATTGAATGTTCTTCTTCTAAAGGGCCATACTTCACATACACAATCAGTCAGTGACCACCGAGGGGTAAATCCGACAGACCACCGCAGAGATGATCCAGATAGCATGTACCTGCAAAACCGAGGTTACCAAGAGCCCAGACGATACGACGACGATCGCAGAGGTTACCAAGAATATAGAGATGACCTAAGAGAGTTTCGACAAGATGAGGATCCCAGAGCGCCCAGACATTACGCTGATTATCCCAGCAGTCATCCGGAAGCAAGACCGTATGATGATGACCCCAGAGGATTCCCAAAACCAAGGGGACCAGAGAACCCCCAAAGTCAACCAGAGAGGAGACGTTACGATGATAATCTCAGACAAAAAGAGCCACGATATGAAGAGTATCCACAAGCTTTAAGAGTGGATGCGGATCTGAGAAGTTCTCAAGAGGCTAGATATTACGAAGACTATTACAGAGGTTACGAAAGTATGGAGTCTGAACGAGATTGGGAGCGTTCTCAAGGTAAGCAAATTATACTGTTATCATGTTTTGTTTAAATAGTTGTAGGTAGAGCTGCATGATATTAGAAAAAAACTGATATTGCTATATTTTATTTGTCTACGATTAAATATTGCCATATGAATATTAGGGCTGTGCGAATAATCATAATCGAATCGCAATTTCGATTTGAAATATGTATTATTTAATTTCCCTCGCCCAGAGAAAATGTGCGCATGGCATGGTGTGTGACAGTCTCACTAGCCAATTGAGTGAGCACAGTTTCGTTCTGCCAAATCAGTATTGCACAACCGAACAACTGTGAAAAACAAACAAACAATCAGGAAAGCACGGAAGAGTGGGATGATGGCGTCGGTTATATACAGATGCATTGGTTGCTGAATTCTAAAGTCTTCTTATTGGATATTGCGTAATTCAATGCGAATATATACTTGACTTTATAGAGAGCTTACGACCTACTTACTACAGTTTACTTCAAGAACATGTTAACAATTGTAGTTACAAACTTGCTAGTTACAAAGCCCCTAATTTGGACTTTACCTTCCAGTTTAAGGGTGCTTTCACACCTAGACTTTTGTTTCGGAACCTGCCCAGTTAGCGCGGTTCGTTTGGCATATGTGAAACCACCAATCGAGCTCAGATCCGCTCTCCAAAACATTCGCTCCGAGATCGCTTGAATAAGGTGGACTCGGCTCGATTGAAACAAACTGAAGCGGATCGATTGTAGTGAAAAAGCGATACGATCCGAGCCCGGCTATATCACAGTGTTTCTTTGAAATTATATTTCTTTTTCAAATATTACTCATAATATTTAATGGAATGAGGGAATGTTTACAGTGTTTCCTATAATATTTTTCTTCTGGAGAAAGTCTAATTTGTTTTATTGTGGCTGGAATAAAAGCAGTTTTAAAATCCATTTTAAAGTCAATATTAGCCCCCTTAAGCAATTTTTGATAGTCTACAGAACAAACCATCATTATACAATGAGTTGCCTAATTACGCTCACTTGCCTAGTTGACCTAATTAATCTAGTTTAAATGTCACTTTAAGCTGAATGCTAACATCTTGAAAAATATCTAGTAAAATATTACTAAAAGATACAGTAAATTAGTTATTAGCAATTAGTTACTAAAACTATTGTTTAGAAATATTTAAAGTTTTCCCTCAATTACAGAAATTGGAGTAAAAAAATAAAAGAAATATTGTTTTTCTGAGCATAATTCTGTACAACATCTCCATTCCTCATTGTCTGTTATTGATTTTTTTTGTTATTCCTTTCTCTTTTCCTCAGAGAGCTTTGGAAAGCCTCCTGGTCACTTCAAATCACATTCTCTACAAGACGGCGGGAGGATGTATGTTGGAAGAGGACAGCAGAGAGCCCATCAGGGCAATCATCAGCCTGTCACCGAAGAGCTTTACGACCCGTTCCAGCCGTCGTCTTCTCCACCTCCAGAATCCAGCTCCTCCACCAGCCTGGACAAGATCGCATCGACTCTTCTGGAGCTCGTCTCTCGTAGATAGTTTTGAATCAGATACTTCTACATAATATTTGATGGTTGTATGTTTCTGTGATTGTTTCATTCAGCATCTTTCAGTAGACGAAATACTGTAGTTTTATTACTTGTATTTTATTTTTCATACTTCCATCGCTTTTCACTATTTGTAGCCTATGTGAGGGGTTTTCAATTTAGTTTGTGTATTGTGAGGTAGAAATTAATTTTGTCTAAATGGTTTGATTAAAATATTGTTGAGGAAATAAATCATTCAACCAAATCTTGATGTTTTTTTTTTGTTTTCGTCAACATTTTTAACCAAGCAAATTGGCATTTTTGCTGATTATTGTGTTACATTTTAGTATCCTGATTTGCTAGTGCCAAAAACACAGATTCAACTGATCTTGGACAATTAATTTTTTGACACAGATGGATCAAATGGTGTAAAAGAATTATTTGCTAGAGATTTCATCAGTGTTGGGCAGTGGCGTCGCTACAAGTAGTGATGCTACTAGCTTAACTACATTTCTCTGTTGCGTGGCAGTAGCGCTACTTGATGAATCAAATAATGTTAGCTTTTCTGTAGCAAAGCTATTTTGTAGTCAAGTAGCTCATTAGCGTTCACACAAGCTACATTTACAAATCGCAGACCAATAAGTGACAACACCATCATTCACAGAGCTGTGAGGCCGGTGTTTAGCCGATGAAAGTAAATCCATATGATGGCGAGAATGAAAATTTCTTCTACCTATTTTACAGTGGTTGACAAACTTTTTAGTGCATTACTGCCACCTCTTTGGTTGGTGAAGTCGCCAGGCAATTAGGATAACAAGAAAGTTCACTGTAAAAAAAAAAGTTAACTGTAGTAAAGGCTAAAGTATAAGGGAATTACCAACCTATGTTACACGGGTTCAAGCACGCATGCTGGTTGCAAAAAAAAAAAAGACCGGTTGCATTAGCAAACATGTCTTGTAGTCAGTAGGATGCCAAAATCGAAGGTCCAAAAATAGAAAACTTAAATTGTACCGTACACCACACTGCTTTTAATGCCAACCGCAGAGGTCTTTTGCTAACAGCCATCAGAAGAGCTGAATGGAGTGAGGACCTAATTAAAAATACTGGACTCTGCAGTTCTCAAATCGGGTAAGTTCATGCTATGCTGAATCAAGACGCGTTACTCGGTTTTGATTGCAGCCATGATTTCATAAAAAACAGTTAAATATGGTGAATTAAACTGCAGACACTGAATGCTAAGAATAAAACGTGAAAGTGTACGTCTACATTCCCTGCCGAACAGCAGTTTGCTGACAATGCAGTTGTTTTGCTTGTTGATTACGCAGGCCTTGTACAGCTCCGTCTACTTTCCTTGTCTTTGGCTAGGCAGAACTTCGGTTTTTAGCACTACAGTTTTGAATCTGGTAATCATGGAACTTTATTTCTTGCACATGACTATGCAGAACAACATTGTTGGCATCCAAAGACTTGTAGGCCTTTAACCTCTCTCTTGTAAAATCACTTTGAGTTTCAATTAGATAGTTGTATATTTGGGGCTCGACGCTTGGCCATTTCGTCTTATCTAATATTTATAGGGAGGGTGCTATCACAAATGGACCTGTCAGACGAACGCGCTCACTTTAACATTAATTTTGCCGAATAACTGCTTATCACTGGGGGACAAGCTGTGTTTATAATACGCTAAAAGCATTATGTATATAATATGTAATCAATAGAACTTATCTCGAATACAACAACAAACTCTTCACCGCATTGGATGTCATTCCCTCGCTGTAAATGGTGGCTCCCTTTTTTTTTTTTCCGTTTTTTTTTGCAACCTTGCTGAGCGCGCATCGTGAATGTTTACAAACCGGTAATTCGTCTTATAGTTACTAATGATACTACATTATGTATTGTAATTCACCAATGCAGAGTTGTGTGTATATATATATATATATATATGTGTGTGTGTGTGTGTGTGTATACATACATAAATATATACACATACATATATATATAAAATTCTCATTCCTAAATATTTCCCTTTACTATAAATTACTATAGTATTTTAAATGTGTAACTAATTTTATTTTCCTAATTTTATTGGATTTTTTATTTGTGCAGTCACACTTTAATTTGTTTCTGTTTGGTACAGCATATCATTGGCAAGAAATAATGGAACTGAACAATTATGCCTCATTGACAGTTTTATTGATCGCTGAGATATGATTGACTTGGATTTAAGTTGCTTTAATTTAAAAATGAATACTGCAAAAAAAATAGCAGTTTGCGAAAATTGTCTGCAGTGTGTTTGTGAATGAGTATGGGTATTTCCCAGTAATAGGTTGCAGTTGGTAGGGCATCCGCTGCATAAAACATATGCTGGATAAGTTGGCGGTTTATTCCGCTGTGGTGACCCCTGATTAATAAAGGGACTAAACCGAAAAGAAAATGATTGAATGAATAATTAGCACTAGCTACTAATAATAAAATCATGAAAATAATAATTATCATGATTTAAAGTAAGGTTTTTATTTTGAAATATTATGTAATAAATTATTAAATTAGCCATATGGCACCTTTAATGTAATATAGTTTGGTATATTTACCTTCTGCTCACGGCTCTAAATGATATTTGGTTTTTGGCTCTTTATATGTAAAATTTGGGCACCCTGGTATTGAGGAAGGTTAGTTTTTGATAACTTAAACAGAGAATGATACCAAAATATTGTTATTTGATTTATTTAAAATGAGGTAAACGTTAATACACTTTAAAATGACAACTTATTAGTATTTTGAGTCTCACTGTGATCCCTAAATATCAAATTATTCTTATTGTAAATTTGCCTGACTAAAATATTTTATACTTACAATGACAATTTAGATTGTCATGATGCAAGTGTGGTGTCTGACCTTAAAAATGAAAAATTAAACAGGACTACTATCATACTACGTCTACAAATGCAGATATGGGTTATAAACTTAGCATGTTTAATGCTGATGCACAGCAGCAACTCAACCTCCAGCTGGCCTGAAGATCGCTCCCATTCAATGGCGCGAACGACGACTACGTCAGAGCTAACGTAGCACTTCTTCCGGTTTAAAAAAAAAGTTGACAAATCATCGGCCATCTTGGTTGCTGTAACAGCCTGAAATAAATTAATTATTACGGCGAACCGGACTACACTACGATTTCATCGCGTAAAGTGAGTATACAAATTAAACATGTTGCTGCGTCACTGTTCGCTTGCTATCTACTGCTTAGTTTGGATGAAGCGGGGCTCGTTTCGAGCTCGTGGTCCAATAAAAGTTTTCATCCAATGGATGATTGTTTTGGAGGATGAACATAGGCGCCATTTCCCTCCTCGCTCTCTGAAGCGCTTATTGGTGGCTAGTGGAAGGGAATGGAGGCGGTCGGGAAGCTGTGTTGCACCGGTCGCCATTTTGGCTCACTGATGTAAATGACTTCTATTGGCTAGCTGGTTCGTTTTGAGCCTAAATGGTGGCAGTTTCTTAACTACCAGAACCCTTAGAAACCTTGATTGGTGGAATCTAGTCCGAGGTTTGATTGGTCTGAAGGACAGATCCAAACGTAGTCTTTATTGGTTAGACTGCCTTTACACCGCTTTACAAATATTTTAGGAAAACTCGCTCAAAGCCCCCTAAAACATCATTATATCACTTCTCCTAATTTGACGGGAATCGCTGTCGATGCGGCCTAACGTTAGTGCCGTAGCGAGCACTGTCTCCTACATTTATGCCGCTTTTTCACAGTCTTCATCTCGTCATACAGTCTTAGCAGCTGATGTCTGAAGATGTAATTCTTTCTGACAATTAAAATTCAGTCGTGCATTACATGTTACATACATAACAATGTTACACGCAGCATACCGAATGTTTGTATGGTTTCGGTTAGCATGTCTCCCGGTTAGCCTGCAAATCCTTTGTTGACTTTTCCCAATCGAAACAGCTTTGCTATCTATAGCATTATAATGTGTCTTCTTGTTTCTCAGTGCCATAAACTATATAATTATCGGTGTATTTGTTATATCCGCATGTTTATTTCGCAGAATGTCCCATTGCTGTCGTATAGTGCAGACATAAATACAAGATTTTTTTTCACTGAATGTGGGGGGATACAAACGCCATAATTATGATATTTAAATATTTAACAAACGCTGTAATTTACTGCGTAAATGACACGGTTGTAATGTGCCAGGTTAAATGGAGGTCAATTCCTGGTAACATTAACTTACATGAACTTAATATTTGCAATACTCATAACGATCAACGAGACTTTCAAGTCAACAATACAAACAAAATAGTTTTTTCACCTTGAGTTTACTAGAAACAAGGACCTTCGTCATCTGTTGCCATAATCTTTCAGCCCTGTTGCTGTAAATAATTGACCTGCCTTCTAGCTGCATTTCAACAACAAAAAGTATTGCACTGTAGTTTGAGTTTTAGTTTTGTGTTGGTTTTTATCTAAACCTTTTGTTGATCTCTCATTTAGATGTTTTTATCTCATGCTAGTACAAGTGTGTGTCCTTACTAGATATTTCAGCAGAGTTGTCAAAAAAAAAAAGAAAAGATTAATGTCAAGTTTTGTGTACGGACTAGGCACGTGCCGTTGTTTTATTGTGACATTATGATAACCTTGGATCAAAATATCACGGTTTCGCAGTATTTTGATTATTGCTCTAAACATAGAACCCTTAATAAAACCTTTTTTCCTCTTTGAACACAATATATTTTATTTTAAGAAACATTTATAATATTTTGGAGCAGTAAACATGTCAGGCTAAATAATTCAAATTAATTATTGACTTCTGTCTTCATTAGTTTCAAAAACACACATTTCTATACAATTTAAAACGACATCTTTGGATGTTTTCATCAGGAGATACTGTTGTCATAAAAACAAAAATGAAACATAAATAAAAAATCTTACACATAACTTAGGAACAGTATTGCAGAACATTATGGAGGTTTTAAAACCAAACCGCAGTATACCTTAAAATGGTTATCGTCCCATGCCTAGTACATACAACAAGGTTTTCAAAATGATAATCATAATTATGACCCTTTTTTATGCTCTCATGTAAACAACTAAAAGCACTATATTCTGCGCTTCAGGTCATTGTAGATCTCACTTTAGAAAGGAAAATGAGATTTCTGTAGGGCTGTGCGATTAATCGAATCGCAATCGCAATTTGAAACGTTGCAATTAGCTAATCGCAAGAGGCTGCAATATGAAATGCATTTGAACTATTTAATTTCCCCTGCCCAGAGCAAATGTGTGACTGCCGTCTGTGTGATGGTCTTACTAGCTTATTGAGTGAGCACAATTGAGTGATGAGTGTCTTGCTGAAAGTATTGCCAGTGACTCAATTTATTAGCAGGCAACAGCAAAGTAAAATTTCAGAGTTGTTTCAGCCATTGTAGTTTGCTATGTGTTCTGTATTATTATAATTATTATACATTTTTTGTTTGTATAATAAGCTACACTATCTCCCTAATTTGAGTTCAACTTACTGAAAGGTAAGGTCATTTTATTGGTGATTACTGTTTGCTCTAGAGAAAAATTAGTGTTTCATTTCTGAATATTTAAAAGACCAATTTGATTAAATGTTGCAGTATTTTTTCAGTTCCTTTTTTAAACTAACGCTCACTGCATTTCTAGCAGTAAGAATCTACGATACAGATTATTGAACTGATGCTTGACTACAAAACTAAATCAAATCGAAATCGCAATATCTGTTAAAAACAATATCGCAATTAGATATTTTCCTAAAATCGCACATCCCCAGATGTCTGTTTACATTATTATACTATGGTCGGTTGTTGTCATTTTGTTTAACAGGAACTCGCACATGCCTATAGACATGCATGTGCAATGGTCTCACTTTTATAAAAGTATGCTTTAAATTTTTTCTCATAGAAAAGAACGATATTGTTTTTCAAAACTTGCACTGGAAAACCCATTTTCAAGGCCACCAAATGCTATTGTCAAGTATATGAATGAAAAAAATATAGAGCTATAGTCCATTTTAATGTGGTCATGCCACTGGTCCATGAACATTTCATGCTTATCAAACTATTTCATAACTGTAACAAGAGGCAATTTAATCATAACCTAATGTTATCAGCTGTCATAACATTATTTATCAATATGTGGCTATTTTCAGATTCTCGAAACCTTAAAAAATAAAAATGTAAAACAGGAAATGCGTGGGCACCATTGTTGTTGTTTACATCCCTCAAATTGGTCTATAAACTTTTCAGATTTAATTTAAAATTGTATAAACTAGGCATGGGATGATAACCAGTTTCAAGGTTCACCACAGTTTGGAGAAGTCAAGTCAATTTTAAAATCACTAAAGTATTCTGTTATGTCATTCATAATGTATATGTAAGTTGTAAGTATATATGTAAGTTTTTGAAATCAACAAAGATGGCAGAAGTCAATGGCTGCGTCCGAAACCGCATACTTCCATACTATATAGTACGCTAAAATCAGTATGCGAGCCGAGTAGTGTGTCTGAACTCATAGATTTCGAAAATCAGTATGCAAGAAGCACCCCGATGACTTACTACTTCTGGCGAGATTCTGGAGTGCGCATCCCATGCACACTGCGCTATCACATAATGCCCCGTGAGAGAATTCATGAATGGAAGTGAAGCGACGCAACTGACGCAGGTAGGTCACGTGACCATGACAAAATTGCAGATGTAGTACGTCCAAATTTCATTCATACTTTTCACATTCATACTGTATAGAAAGTACTTTTCTAACGGCTGAGTAGTACGTTTAAATTCAAATGCAGTACCTACTGAGTAGTAGGCGGTTTCGGACGCAGCCAATGATTTATTTTAAATATTTAGCCTGACATGTTTTCTGTTTCAAAATTTTTCCCAATAATGTGTTTAATGGGGTAAAAAAAAATTGTTGTTTTTTTTTACTCAAACATTTAAAAATAACTTTTTTAGAGTAGTAATCATGATACCGTGAACCTGTGGTATATTTATCCAAGGTTATCATACCTTTATAAATGTATACATGCTTAAATACAAATCTGTTTGTATCTGTTTGTATGTTTGATGTTAAAAACCCTGTTTGATGGGTGAAATCAAATTTCTGGACCAAAAAAAAACATTGATGTGATGCTAAAAAGTAGTTTTTGTTGGTCAAAGCAATGCTTTATTTTGCCTGCTGAAAATAATTTTGGTAAATGTGACCACAATATTAGTCTTGTTCTTGTTGGAAAAATCTTAACATTGATAAATAAGTGAGCATGGCTTATCATCATAATATTTACATTAATAAATAGGTGAGCATGGTATATCATTATAATACTTTTTTTTTTTTTTTTAATCACATGACCACTCTATAATTACACATTTTAGAGGACGAACCATTGTATCAGACCTATCAGGTCAAGTTTTTATTTTTTTAGGACACAGCTGATGTTGAGTTTGGGATATATCCACTGCAATGCATGTCCCTGCACTCAAATGAGACTGTACATCTGACCTGAGTGACTTTCCACTTTAAATCATGCAGCTACAGCATGCGGCATCCTCTTTGAGCCCGCCCTAAGCCAATCGCTGATAAAGGGTTCATTTGCATCACCACACGCCTAGCCACTCAGCTCCTCCGAGAGGCGGGCTTTAGAGACATTTAGTTTGACATTGTAAATAAGCAAGGGACAGTTTGAGAAGTCAGTTGTTCAGTCCAGCTCCGTCCAGCCACAGTACAGGAGAAGATCTGCAGGGCTCTGATTTTACAAGGCTTGCAAACCGAGATGGTTCTCCGCCCTCCCCGCGTCCTTCATGCAACTTTCTGCTGCTTTTGTCTGCTTGTTTTTTTTCTCTCTCCTTCTTTTCATTCCCTGACCCCTATCCTGCTGCTCAAGGTAACTTAAAACAGGAAGTTGAGTGTCTGTGAAAGGGGGCGGAGCTGAGAGGGTAAGCAGAGAGGAGGGGGTGACTCTGCCTACAGACGGCTGGCTCAGCCTATCGTAGCGCAGACTGACTCAGGCTTATTTGAAGAATCCAGCGAGGGGCAGGGATCTCAGAGATAGGCGGGCTTAGAGTATCGTTTAGCAAGCTAGATTGATTACAGCCGAGTGTTAAAGGGAAAGCAGTCAGGAGAATTTGTCCCGACTTGTTCTGCTGCTCTGCTTTGCTCTCACACTTCTGTTTCTTTTCACGCTTCCCTTTTTCTCCATGTCTCCTTCACTTTCTTGCCTGTTTTTTCGGTCACTTGCTCCGAGGCAGGGGTCAGCTGAAAGACAAACAGTAGGGTTGTCAGGCAGAGGCCAACTCCAGGCTCCGGGCGACTCGGACAGGAGAGGAATGAGAGGGGGTTGTGTGTTTAGGAAAGGGGGGTGGAGAGTGGCTGAAGAAGATGGGTTAGTGGAAGGGGGAGGGTTTTGAATGGGGGGGCGGTAGGTGTTCGCGCTCCCCTCATCTCGGGGCTTTGAACACAGTGGAAGATCGACTGTCCCACACAGCCTTTTGTCTCCTCCTGGGACAGAGCCTGTGGACTAAAGACATTTATGAAGACTTTTGAGATGCCCTCCTCCTTTTCTGGCATCCACAACACCGCACATGAAGGGCATGGGGTAAGTGTGACTTGCGACTGCAATCAGACAGTACAGCTCTCTCTCTCTCTCTCTCTCTCTCTCGCTGCAGTAATGGGATGCTTCCTCTGTCCTCCGCTGCGCTTTTCTCCTCCTCCTTTCGTCCTCTACTTTTCCCCTTGCTTGAAATCTGAGTGTACTTCTTTGTGTTTTTTTGTCCTGCTCATTTTCAACTCTTAAACCTAATGAATAGTGCTTGTCATGGTGTAAACATTAACTAGCTGGAAATTTTGCTGGTTTCGTATGTGCAGTTTTAACTTTCCATCATTGAAATGCACAGCATAATCTTTGATTGCGGTTGACCTTTAAGTTCAGTTTGACTTTGGACCTCTGGAAGGTCCCGTGCTGTCAAGCATTTCTGCTACATCTGTGATGCTTAGAAAGACAGATTGCCTATAGGACCGCTAGTCCCAGTTCACTTTTTTAAGGCCGAGTTTTGTGGCTTGTTTACACTGTCTTGACAGTGAGGCAGAGCAGAGGACAGGATGGACGTGCTCTCTACGTGACCAACCTGTATTGGGGTTTATGTGGGGACTCTTAGCTTGCTAGTTCATAATGTACAGACGGTTGTCCTTGCATGATGCCTTCTTACGGAATCCATTCGGATTAAAGTCTCTTTTTCATGCATGTACTAAAAAGTTTCGATTAGTTGAAAGTATTAAGGTTCTTTTGGGGTAAAGAACTACTGAAAATAACTCTAGGTAGAACCTTGAGTACTTCCTCTCAGCATGATGTTCTCGATTAAGATTGTAATATCATTTTAACTCCTTACTGCATCAATTTGCAAAGATGTTCAAGGGTAAAATGTCATACCTGACTAACGTTTTTGCACATTCACTCTTGTTCTTGAGGTTTTGCGCTTTAGGTTGTTTTCAAATGTCAACGCAGAACCTTTAAAGTTTACAGTTGGGGCTCTGGTGCTGGCATTGGCACGTCGTCACACCTTGCCAATGCTAACGGGCCCATCGGTGGATGAAGGTCACAGGAATGTGAGAGCGGCTCCTGCATTCGATCTGTCAGTGGGTAGAGTGTGAGACCAAGAGAAGAGCGCATCCCTCAGGGGCGCACAGACAAGAGGGGGCCATTCACCGTCAAGCCTCTCTAGGGACGGCATCATTACACACACTAGGGTCGCCAAGTTGCTGCAGTGAAAGTTGCAAAACCAGTCTTGGTTTTCTTTCTTTCTGTGTTATTGTATATCCCTCACACTCCTCTCCTCCCTCCCCCATACCGTGTTTTTTTTCTTGTCTGCTTACTGTTGAGTGACCTTGAGAGTTCAGGGACGGCTTCGTGGAGTTGGAGTGAAGCGAACCAAGGGCAACTTTGGAATGATTGATCTATGAGATTAGACAAGGATCAGAGTGGCAGTAATGTCCGGCCCTCGTTTTTTTGCTCTGAACCTCAGTTCAAAACAACTACAGATATTTGTCAGTTAATTTGTAATGCATTGCTTGGTGCTTGGGTGCATTTTGTTGTGTTCGAGTCGATGATTAACCAGTAACCACAGCGGCCTTTGTGGATTTTTTTTTTTTTTTCTGTGTGAATGTTTGGGTAGTTAATAAGTTCTGGATAAAGAGCTGTGACCTTTCTGTATGACAGAATGATCATTGAAAATGGCTTGTATGTGTGCTGTAGTTTGAGCATTTGAGTTTTGGTTCAAGAGCTTAAAGTAGGACGTAAAACAAAGAGTTGTCAGTAAAAATGATTACCTGCAGGTTTTGGCATAGTTGAGTCTATAGAAGCATGCACAGTGTAATGAATAATAGAAATTGTTCATGAATAAATAGTTCAGCTAACACATTGCCCGATTGATTATCTGATCGTTTAAATTCACGTCACATCAGTTGTAGTTAATTTAATGTATACTATATACATTACAGGCAAAATCCAGTCACAGTCTGTTAGTCTGACTTTGTAAAAACACACACTGATTAGATTTCATTGACTTTTTAAAAAGACGCATTATTGTTTTAGTATGAAATTAAACTCACTTAAACACTCTCTATAAGTATAAAGAGAATATTGTCTCTTTCCATATATTTTCTTCACCTGTTCCCAAACTTTTTTTCTTTTTTTTTTAGGAATGTTCTGATATGAGATAAGATTGAATTACTTCTTTCTGCCTTCTTTGTCTGGTATGCCTGTAGTTTTGGTTTTCCTAGACTAACTTGGACAGGCATGCTGGAGAAGAGGAATGTGACAAAATGGAGATGTACGACAGGATGTTAAGATGAGCGTTAAATTTTAACAGCATTTTCAGTGGAAAGCTGTTTCTTTTCAAATGCGAGTAGTTCAGGGGTTAAGTTTGTCAAACAAAACAAAAAAAACAGACTTTAAGTTTGAAATAAACTCTATTGCTTTGTAGTGTCTTAAGTACTGACTGTTAAAATTAGATTCATTCTAGAGGTGAGCTTTTATGTCTGAGGGTAGCTTGGATCTCAAGTCTGCACAGCGGCTGGCATCAACAACCCTGGTATTGTCTTATCAGCTTAACTGATTTCAATCTCTCCAGCACGAGGAAGAAATTGTCCTAAATTTTTCTGTGCGGCTAAGAACACCGTCCAAACAGTAGTATAAAAGGCATCTGACTTCTCTGTATCAGCGATGTAAACATGTTACCTTTTGATGAAATTCACACTTTTGGATCCACAGTGGTTCAGTATTGTGATTCATCTATATCTTTTCAAAATTTAGAGCGAGGAGCGAGTCCAAAAATGAGTCCTTATTTGAAGCCTGTCCATAGACAAGCTTGAAGACAGAAAATGCATCACAAGGACAGCACGTGGATGATAATAGCAGTGTGAGTTTACTGCTCATAAAGTAATGATGTCTCAAAATTTCTCATTTTTTATGCTTGATATTGCTAGATATAAACCAAACTCGGTCCTGGAGGGCCGGTGTCCTGCAAAGTTTAGTTCCAACCCCAATCTGACACACCTGGACTAGCTAATCAAGCTCTTACTAGGGCTGTTTCTCAATTCCAAGAATGGAGAGAACGGACTTGCGTTCTTCTGGAGACCGGTCTTGCCAGGTGTCCTTGGAAGACCGAACTGGGAAGACCACGAGAACAGAGAACGCGTCCTCTGAGGAATGAAATGCTACGCTCTTCCTAATGGTCATGTGACCTTAATGGGTTTTAAATGGAAAATTAATTAAACGTTACAGCATTCATATAACGATTTATTGTTTTCCCCCTTTTTAAAATATATGGTATGCTTAAAAACATTATATAGATTGCACAATATAAATAAAACAGATTTTAATACGATTTTCAGCAAACAAGCACCCTTAATGTGTTTATTCCTTTATTAAGATGTCCATGGTAATGTTTATATTCACTGTTCCATTTACAAAAACACCTAAGGTACATAAGTTATATCTCTGAACTTTAATAATAAACCTAAATAAAATGCTGCGCTTCCCACCTCGCAATGACTTATGGGACTTCTAGAGCGAGATCGGTGCTCAAGTCTGCATCGGTGTGTCCTCAATATCAAGAACACATCCGGGAATTTTTACGCGTCCTCTGTTTATGCGGTCTTGAGTATTGGAACTGAACTTTGGCAGTTTAATGATGACCTTACACGAGAACGCAAGACCGATGAAATACGCGTATTGAGAAACAGCCTAGGCTTTCTAGAAACATCTTTGCAGGTGTGTTGAGGCAAGTTGGAGCTAAAATCTGCAGGACATCGGCCCTCCACGACCAAGTTTAGACACCCCTGATGTAAACCATAAGGTCTTGCATCTTTTTCACCTTCAGAGTTGGCATCCGTCATTAAAGGGTCACGAAACACCAAAACACATTTTTTGAGTTGTTGACAGTCGTATATGTGTCCCACACTGCTAAAAACACTATTAGGACACCTATATTTCACTAAAAAGTGTAAATTGGTTGTTTTTGCGTTATTTTAAGCAAATTCGTACTTCCTGTTTGAAACGAATTTTTGAAGCTGCGTCACGGTCATGACATAATAGTGTGTATTCCAGCGTGCAGACTGGGCGTCTGTGCCTGAGTGAGTCTTATTACGTCTTACAGTGTGTTGCATTAATGCATGAGTAAGGCTTGGGTCAAACCAATCAGCGCACTCTATTGTGCAACTTCATTAATATTCATTACTATCACCGTGTTTTCAGGACAGAGACGCCACATTGTGTTGGCAAAACAAGGGTGAAGTGTTGCTTTTATAGTTTGCTGCAGTTAAGTTTCGTTTTCATTTTCTCTCTGTGAGAGCTCAGACTCACGTGTGGATTACAGTGTAAGCGACGCGCGACAACAATAACTTACGTGTCTAAGGAGGATTATTGTTTACCTGAGAGCTGTTCTCATCTGCAAACGCTGGGATCTGGAATCGTTTGTTGTATTCTCTTCATAAAGACGCGGCTCTAGTTGCTGGTGATTGTCCTGTCTCTACAGATTTGGTAAGTGAGCGACCAGTGCTCTTTGTTTATTCAGTTTGTTTGTATCTAACAAACTATTGCACAGAGTGTAAACACGTTAGCACCACAACCAAACTTTAACCTCGTGTAGGGTTTTTACCGCATTTAGTGACCGGAATAACACGCGCGGCTTTCTGACACTACCTGTCGTGTGCATCTAAGTTTCTGGGAAATGCAGAGGGTTTTTTTCTCTCATTCGCCGTGCGGTATAAAACATTGCATGAAAAATACACGCTTAGAGCAGCTCCTCAAATCAAATATCTCGTGTGTCGCGAGGGGCATGAATGAATTCCCTGAATGAAAGAGCCAAACTGCAGTTAAAGTCCACCATTTAATAATTTGGCTAATAATTCGACTACAGATGTCCATGTAGGTTAAACACCATCACATTCTCCTGTATGTATGTGTGTGTGTGTGTGTGTGTGTATTTTGACTCTGAAACTCGCGCGTGCCCAAATCGACACTCCCACACCATCCCACTTTAGTTCCTCCGACACTCCCCCCTAAACAGAGCTGGACACGCCCACTTTTCTGACTTTTTCCAAAGAAGAGGTGTGAAAACACCCTGCTGAAACGAGGGGGTTTCATGGCCCTTTAATGACTGTATGTGAAGTCTGTGCCACAGTAGTTTCTCCTCTTCCTTGGAGGCCTCAGGCCACAGTCTCTCCTGCCATTCAGTGTCTGCCGCGCCGTCAGCTCAACTCTTTCTCTTGTCAAGAGGGTAATATGTGATATCTGGAGTCTTTGAGAAGCGTTCGTCCCCTATCACATTGTTCGAGCATTTCTTTACTGCAGTCCTCCTGCACGGTGAAAGCAAGGCTGGCAGTGATGTTCTTGCTGAATCAGCCTCTGCAAGCGGCATTGACTTTCTCAGACACAGAGCACCAGCAGTCATTGCCGTCGAGGCAACCGAACAGGTCAGGAGAAATCCAAAACCAACGTTGTGTTCTGACTTGCTGAAGGACGATCGTGACTGAAAGTCGCACATACTCTAAGCTTTAGCTTGCTTTTGTGTTTGCCTGAAGTTATTATGAAGAATTATGTTGGGTTACGGTTGGGTTATTGGTGTGACTTTATTTGTTATATAATAATGTTGTAATTAATGTTATTATTAGCAGGATTCATAATTTGACATTATTTCTTAGGATTATTTCATTAAATGTTCTAGTATGTTCAATTTAATAATGTTTGACAATTATGAAGGATAATCAAGCGTATTAAATTTGATCTGGCCACTGTTATAATTTTTTATTGACTCAATTGATAGTTGCCTCTTATTAATTTACTTAAACGCAATATAAAGCATGCTAATCTTAAAAGTAAAAGTATTGTACCAAAGGTCTTGCTCCTGGTTCTCAGGTTGTGTCTCGATTGGGTAAAAAGCGTCAAAAATAGCTCCCACTCACGCAGCTGGTCTAGGCGAGCTTTGATTTAACCTATTTATGTCTCCTCTAATGGAGTGTTATCTCATTTAATTTGCCTCACAATTTCCCAGGTCCGTGACAGTAATTGCCGCTGTTATTGCCTGCTAATTAGCCAGCTAGTTTTTGTAATGGTCTTTCTCGAGATGTTAAATGATCGTTTCTTATCAGGCCGGCTCTGGCACATGCACACGCACAGATGTACAACAGAAGACCATCACAAGATCGACACCTGATGCTGTTGCTGTCCTCCTGTACCTTTATGGGCACGAATGGGGATTTTGATTGACAGTTGACTGCTTCAATCAAGCCTGAAATGAGTCTAGAGCTTATTGACAGCTGGAGTCACATGACTTATTGATTTATATGGTGTCGTCTGATGCAACTGATCACTGTTGTTAAAGGCACATTAAAACTGTTGAATTAAACATGTTGTTTTTTTTTTTAACATTACACGGCGATTGTAACCACCCTAATGCTTTAGTATACGTAAGAGGAATAAGAGATGAAAGCAGGTCACCGCTTTTCGCTAGTGATCACGCATGTTTCACTGTGTTGCTTCTCCGTTTGACCCACATAGTGAAGCTGCTCGGCAGTCCGACTGCTCCCCCTCCATTAAGCCCTTGGCACTTTGTCTTGTTATTGGATTATGGCTGAACTGCACGAGTCCGAGTACTTTTTTTACTGCCTCGCTCCTGTGGCACCCCACCCTGCTATTTCTGTCCTTGTATTTTCTTCTAGAGAGAGGTGCTTTGTAGCGTCCGTGGCAGCGCAAGCTCAGGCAGGCTGCCTGCAGAATTCCTCACATGCCATAGTAACCTGCCAGCTTTGCTCCTCTTGCATTTTTTGGTTTGTGTTTAGATTGTCTCCGTTGCGTCAGTGCCGAGCTGTACTGTCAGAACGGCCCATTTGGTCTGGCTCCAGAGCTATTTGTGTATCCAGATGTGCACTGCGGGCTTCAGGTCACTGGCACGGAGGAGGACTTTGTTCTCCAGGTTTTCCACACATGGATTCCTGGCTTAGTTTACACATTGCTGAGTTGACCAATCGCACATCGACAATTGCACTTCAAAAAAAACATACTAATGGGCCTTGTACACAAGACGGCGACGACTGGTTTAACATTCATCATCTATATTTTAAATCCTTGAAAAGTTTTTATTTTAATATGTTTATATTTATTTAATGTTTTATTAAAAAATTATTTAAAAAATGTATTAAAGTTTTATTTTATATATTTAATTTTTATATACAGTTGAAGTCAGAATTATTAGCCCCCTTTTGATTTTTATTTTCTTTTCTAAATATTTCCCAAATTATGTTTAACAGAGCAATGAAATTTTCACAGTATGTCTGATAATATTTTTTCTTCTGGAGAAAGTCTAATTTATTTTATTTCGACTAGAATAAAAGCAGTTATTTTTAAAAAAAAACATTTTTGGGACAAAATTAAGCTAATTTTTTTTTCCAATAATCTACAGAACAAAATATCGTTATGCAATAACTTGCCTAATTACCCTAACCTGCCTAGTTAACCTAATTAACCTAGTTAAGCCTTTAAATGTCACTTTAAGCTGTATAGAAGTGTCTTAAAAAATATCAAGTAAAATATTATTTACTGTCATCATGGCAAAGATAAAATAAATCCAATTATTAGAAATAAGTTTTTAAAACTATTATGTTTAGAAATGTGCTGAAACAATCTTCCCTTCATTAAACAGAAATTGGGAAAAGAAATAAACAGGGGCGCTAATAATACAGGGGGGCTAATAATTCTGACTTCAACTGTATATTTCTTTATTTCTTTCATATTTTTAATTTGTAATAATTTTTATATTTTATTTTATATATATATATTTTTAAATAAATTTTACAGTTTATTATATATATATATATATATATATATATATATATATATATATATATATATATATATATATATATATATTATTTTTTTTTTTTAAATAAATTTTATGTTTATTTTAAAATGTTTTTTTTTTTTATTAACCATGTTTTAATAAATTCTAACTCGGACTAATAACCGTGTCAAGGTGCAAAAATTTAGTTGTTTAGTCTTTTTAAGTATTTATTTTCAATAGCAGAACAGCATCTATTTGGCGGGGATGATGGTGATAGATAGTAGAGCCTTCTGATTGGTCAAATTTAGATAAACCAATGCATAAAATGTCATTTATTACACAAGTCTGCAATTAACATTTATTGCATTATCACAATAACGATAATTTAGCGACACATTATGCTGCCCTAGTATGTACATTTATAAATCTATGCATTGTATTTTTAATCTTTGCATCAAATTACAAATCAACTAGTTAACGCTTATATGATGTTTCTAATGCAGCATCTGTGGGTGGCACAGTCATTTTTTTCTGATAGTTATGATCAAAAAAGGACGGTCATGTTTCTGCAGCAATCGTAATGGGTCAATCACACCATGGCCTTCGCATTCCTGATCAAAGCTCAATCTTTACAGCTGAAGCAAAGGCACTCTTTTTAGCGCTGGAACACATTGAAAATGCTGAAGGACACAATTTTATTATTTTTTCTGATTCTAAATCTTGTCTACAGACATTAAATTCTTTTAAACTGGAGCATCCCATTATTATTGACATTTTTATCAAAGTGAATGAATTACAGTGAAAGTTTTATAATATAGTCTTCTGCTGGATCCCAGGACATACTGGACTACTTGGGAATGAACAAGCTGACAAAGCCGCCAAAACAGCCCTAACAGGAAAGCTGATGGAGTGCAAAATCCCACCTTCGGATCTTAAGCCACTAATAAAAGGCTATATTCTCAACAAATGGCAAACAGAATGGGATCAGTGCCCAGAAAATAAACTTTTTGAAATTCAACCTGAAATAGGAAAAAAATCTAATTTATTTTTTAAGTCAAGACACGATGAGATTGTGTATAGAAGATGCCGCATTGGACACACGAGACTCACACATGAACATTTACTCAAAAGAGAAGAACCACCAAAATGCCTTTATTGCAACAGAAACCAAACAGTTAAACACATTCTTGTGGAATGCCCCATTTTTAATGTTATCAGAAAACAATATTTATCTGGAGAGACTTTAAAGGAAATATTTTTAAACGTGAATCCATCTAAAGTTGTAGAATTTTTATCAAAAGGAAATCTTAAAAAACTTTTTTAGATTTTTATCTTATATATTATCATTATTATTTTTATTTATATATTTTACCTTGTACATTATTTATTGCTGTTGATGACTTTTAATTGTTAGAATATTTTTACTTGATCTATTTTCTTTTTGCCATGACATAGCCATAGAAGCTGAAATGGCAATAAAATAAAATCTCTCTCTCTCTCTCTCTGATAGTTATGAAAACACTATTGCAGCCTTTTTCTTTTGTTATTTTAGCAAAATGGAATGCATAAAAAAAACTTTTGCTACTCTCCCATTCACTTCTCTCCAAGTTAACCCAACTTTAATGACTTGGCAGCCTAGAATCACAAATATACGACACAAAGGCTATCAAATACTATTATCCCGTAAACACAACTAAAACTGTCTGGTTATTATCTTGAGAAGATTCCATCAATTATAAGGGCTGTAAGTAAACATTAACCCTGACTTGTCTTGTTTTGTCTTCTTCTTTGATTTCTAGCAGATCTGGAGATGTCGGCAGACTCATTTGGAGCGGGTGGCAGCGATGCCCAGCAGAGCTTACAGTCTTTTTGGCCCAGGGTGATGGAAGAGATCAGGAATCTTACTGTGGTATGAGTTTTTCCTTTTCACTCAGATACAGTTGTGGTCAGCTCTATTGTACCTCATTATTAGGAATTCTTGTTATTGCGAGTTCTCCTCTAACCCACTCTCGCACTGTTTCAGAAGGATTTCCGTGTGCAAGAGCTTCCTCTCGCTCGCATCAAGAAAATTATGAAACTGGATGAGGATGTGAAGGTAAGAGCAGCCAAGCTGAATCGACACAATCAGTCTAAGCTGATGGCAGCAAACTTCCTGTGTTTGATTTTTTTTGAGACAGCAGCAGTCTTGCATTTGTCGACTGTACATCAAATGGCCAGTTGCATCAATATTTAGGGGAGTTTGCTGGGGCGAGATTTAATTTTACTATTGGAGTTTTTAAGTTCACCACTGTTTGTGTAGCAGACATGAATGAAACCTCAAATCATGTGGCTTGACGACAAGTACGTTGGATCTTTGAGCAGACTTTGTATGTTGTTTTGAAACTATTTGGGGTAGTGAAAATGTTATGAATGCTCAACACTATTGACCGAAATGGCAAGTGCATTTCTGACAGTGCGTTTTGACTATGCCAGCTTCTTCTCTATTCACACAAGCTGGATAATTACAGGTAAACATGCAATGTGTGTACGTATAAATCATTCATTAATTTTCTGGCTTAGTCCCTTAATAATCTGGGGTTGCCACAGCGGAATGAACCGACAACTTATCCAGCATGTGTTTTATACAGCGGATGCCGCAACCCATCACTGTGAAACACCATACACTCTCAGGTGTAATCACCTATAGAGCATATCTTTGGACTGTGGGGGAAACTGGAGTCCCTCGGAGGAAACCCACGCCAGCACGGGGAGAACATGCAAATTTCACACATGCAAACTCCAACTGGCTCAGCCGAGGCTTGAACCAGTGACTTTCTTGCTGTGAGGTGAACGTGCTACCCACTGCGCCACCGTACAGCTATGATTTAGGTTATTACTGAAAAATAAAGTGTTTTAATGTGTAACCTGTCAGATCAATACCGAGAACAGCATATAAAGGTCAGATAGTTCCTAAAATTCAATTCAATGTTTTAAAAAACGACATTATTTTGGTACATTGGTGTTTTTTTTTTCTTTTTCATACATCAAACACACTAGCTTCCAAATTAGCATGGTACAGAAGACCTCTACATTAGGGTTGGGTCGATAGACGATGCCGATGGTCGATAGACATCACGGTGCTGAGCCAGTATTGCGATTTCCCCCGCCCTGCCCCCGTCGCAGCAGCAACCTGCTCACGATAAATGCACAGTTAGGCCCCGTTTACACTAATACGACTTCATTTTAAAATGGCATTTTAGAACAAAACCGATCCACATCCACACTGGTGTTTCCCTAGCATTTCTGAAAAGCCCTCCTTGCACACTATACTGATGCACTCTCATTTGCTGCAGTGTAGCCTATGTGCGCGTCTGACTTTTGAGCTCCAGCAGTCACCCCAGAGAGCAGTGCTCATCGGACAGTTTATCAAGGATGTATCGCCGGATCTTACTATAGTTGTTAAATGTAAATCTCCATCTAATGACTCTTGGGTCTTTTGAATCTATCAGGTAACGTGTGTCAGCGTCAGTACACTGCTTCATTCTTGCATTTTCACACTTGTACTTAGTAATTTAACCAAAACCTCAGATACTGTTGGTTGGTTTCTGTTCGGTGTGCACCTTTTTTACCAACCAAGTTTGTCGGTGCCATAATAGCCACACAGATCACGCTGCCTATTCATGTCCCACGGAAAAAGTGATTGACAGGTGGCAATTTATGTATAACTTATCTTTATTTATTTCTGGTATGGTCATGTGTAAAACAAAGACAATACGGGTCAGGTAGTTGAAACTGTATGCTACAAATAATTCGTTATTAATTAACTAATCATTCATAAATTATTAATTTACCGCCACCTATGACGATGATGCCATGGTCCATTGTGACGTTTCACGATGCCAAATTGGTCGACATCGCCCAACTCTGCTCTACATTAGTAACCACTTAGCAGCGCCATGGAAGACTCCCACTTCTCTTTAGCAAATAGCTTTTCTTAAGCACTTACAGAATAACTAATCCAACCATTAAATGTCTATAAAGTTTGACTTTCCTACTTGATTTGAGACTCCAAATTAAATGTTTTATGGCCTTCTCCAGATGCAAAGTGAACATTTTTAGTGGCTTTGAGCAGTTACTATTTTCAGCGGCTCTTTTGTGAATAGAGAAATTATTCGATCCATCTGAGTCATCTGTCCATTTTCTGCGAAACAGTCTGATATTGAGGAGTGTGTAAACAATGAATAGACTTTTTCTTAGAACTAAAAAAACTCTTTTCTGTTAACAGCCTCAGTTCTGTGTATGGCCAATATTTACACTCTTTGCCAGATGCAGCACGCATATCTATAAACCTTTAAGAACAAATGAGAACATGTTATTAACACCACCAAAAAAGCTGGTGCTTTGAGCAAAGTTTTTAAGGGATAGTTCACCAGAAAATTATAATTTACTCCCTCAGGTGATTTCAAGCATTTATAAGTTTATTTCTTCTATTGAACACTAAAGAAGATCTTTTAAAGAAAGCTGAAAACCTGTAATCATTAACTTCCATAATAGACAAGAGCTAGTACTTTGGAAGTCAATGGATTCAGGTTTTCAGCATTTTACGAATGTACTTATCAGAAGAAAGAATTTCGTAACAGAAAAAATTCTCGTGAAAGAATTCGTAACAACTAAAAGGCGAGTAAATATTAACTAAATAAATAGTTTTTAGTGAACTATTCTTTTAAGTGAGCCTAAAGGCCGCCTCACACTGGAGTTTTTATTATAATTTTTTAATACTGAACAATTATAGCATGTCAGACTGCACAAACATGGCTCCCATGTCACACTGTAAGATTTCAGCTGTCATAAAGTCAGACTGAACGACAATGAAGACACTGCAAACACGAAAGAAAACACCCCTGGAGTTAAACGTTCACACGTGACACTTTCACTATCCCGCGTTCTAAAAATGAGTCCTCACAGCAAACGTAAACAATCTGTATTGGCAATTTTGCACACCCCATGTCTCAATTATAAAACCAGGAAGAAATTTTTTTTTGACATTTTCCCGCGGTCATTTGAATTGTCGCATGAATTGCATCATCAAATTCGGAGGTCCTATTGATTTTTGAATTGACGCTCATCCCAGCTGTTGTCACACATCAGGAAATTGTCTGAAATCTTCTGACACTGCCAGAAATTCATTGGAGGAAAAATCTGATCGCTATGGGCACTAAGCGGCTGACTGTTAACATGTCAAATCAACGATCAATGATTACTGATTTTAGCCTAGGATTTAAGGAATCTTTTAGGATTTCCCAAATTTGTCTCGGATGACAGAATCGTAGCTGAAATATCACAGTGTGAGCAGGGCTTAAGACACTAGCTACGTTCAGGTAAGTTACGTTCAGCCTGATCAGGTTTTTTTTTTCCTCCAAGTGATTTGATTTTGAGGATCTACCAATACCGAAATCCATACTAATACTTCTATAATACATAAAAAATAATAATGAAGAGCAAAGATACGGATCCAGGATGTTCCTTAATTTATTATTTAATTCACCTAATTTTAACATTCAACAAATCAGTTAACAAACAGAGCACTTATGTGTGGTAGCTTCAACAATAAGTAATAAACAACATAAATTCTTCACTCTTGGACTTTAGTGCAACAGTAAATATAAAAAAACGAATAGCACCTCAACTTAAAATACCCGGCAGGCATGTTAACAAAAAAAATAAAATAAAAGTACCATATTGTTTGAGAAGCCTGTTTTGTGCTTTCAGGAAATATAGATGCCTAACTACATGTGTTAAAAAATAATTAGAATATAAATAATTATAGAAATTTTCCAGTGATGGGTTGCAGCTAGAAGGACATCCCCTGTGTAAAACAAGTGCTGGATAAGTTGGCGGTTCATTCCGCTGTGGTGAACCCTGATTTTAAAGGCACTAAAGAAAACGATTATATATTTACAGTTGAAGTCAGAATTATTAGCCCCCTTGAATTATTAGACCGCTTGTTTATTTTTTTTTCCCAATTTGTGTTTAACGGAGAGAAGATTTTTACAGAACATTTATAAACATAATAGTTTTATTAACTCATTTTTAATAATGAATTAATTTTATCTTTGCCATGATGATAGTAAATAATATTTGACTAGATATTTTTCAAGACACTTCTATACTGCTTAAAGTGACATTTAAAGGCTTAACTTGGTTAATTAGTTAACTAGGCAGGTTAGGGTAATTAGGCAAGTTATTGTATAACAATGGTTTGTTCTGTAGACTATCGAGAAAAAAATTTGCTTAAAGGGGCTAATAATTTTGTCCCTAAAATAGTGTTTAATAAATTAAAAACTGCTTTTATTCTAGACAAAATAAAACAAATCAGACTTTTTCCAGAAGAAAAAATATTATCAGACAATTTCCTTGCTCTGTTAAACATAATTTGGGAAATATTTAAAAAAGAAGAAAAAAATTCAAAGGGGGCTAAAAATTCTGACTTCAACTGTGTGTGTGTATATGTGTATGTGTATATAGTCCTGATCGGGAGGTCATGTCCGATTCCGATCGAGTCTAAAACTTTTTTTTTCAATCCATCTATTTTTATGTGCATTTTGGAAATGTGCATAAAAAACCAATGGAAATCCCAAGATGCGCATAAAAACATGCATAACTGAGTAGTATAAACTTTTTATTTTATAAGAGAAGATGCACAAAAACTACAATGGAAACTCTTTTACCGAACATAATTCGGTATGCGCATTAAAGTCATGTGATTTTGTTATAAAAGATGATGTGATTGATGAAAATGTGTGTGAATGGACAAATCAGTAGGCTGAGCACATAGTAAAACATCTGAAATGTTGTTTTGGTCATTCTAAAACGGCGTGATAATTTCAGTATTAATGTTATTTTATTATTAATGACCTCCAAAGTTGTCAAGAGCATCTCCCAACTTTAAACGCCACCAGGCGTTCATTGCGCATCCGCATACTGTCTGCTGTGGCTCAAGGTATTTATTAAATAAAGACCTTTTGATTAACGTTTTTACTTTTGGTATTTGGAGCCATTTAATAAGGAAGTGACTATTTCGTTCTCTTTGACTCGTTGGATAGAAACGCTGTTTTATTCGCACGTCTTTTATGCGATTATTTCAGTTTTGTGCATAAATTTAATTCGTATCTTTGGATGGAAACATAGCTGCTGATGCCCTTGTTGCACAGTTTGATAGAGCGACTCAAGTCCAAAGATTTAAGTGTAGGTGTATTTGCTTTATAGTTTAACACTCGCTGGTTATAATGAGCTTGTTAAACTCTAAAGCACACAGACCTTTGCTTTGTGCCCAGCTGAAGAGTACAAACAAAGATATAGTGATGTTATAGAAGCCACAGGGCGTGATCTTCCCATACAGGCCCTTAGCCGCGTGGGAAGCAGGCATCAGGTCAGGGTGGCGTCCAGACGCTTAAAATAACCCACAGCTTAGAGTGGGAAGAGAGAAAAGCCAAGGCAATTAAGAGCTCAGGAGAGATGACATGGCCAAGACCCTAGGTCAGAACTTGACGTAGCCTCTTTGGACACTACATGTCTGACGGCAGGCCGAAACATGAAGGGCATTGGTGTAGTGAGTGTCTGGATGACATGATGCGCTTTTGTTTCCTTTTGTATTGATTTGCCTTGATAACCCTTTGTAGATGATCAGTGCCGAGGCGCCGGTGCTGTTTGCCAAAGCGGCACAGATCTTCATCACAGAGCTCACTCTCAGAGCCTGGATCCACACCGAGGACAACAAACGCCGCACACTACAGGTCAGTCATTTCCATTCCCAACTTCTCTTTGACCCCTCGCCCAAGCCTGCTGAGATAAACCAGTCTCCTTTCTGGGCAAAATTATTTGTGTGTGTGTGTGTGTGTGTGTGTGTGTGTGTGTGTGTGTGTGTGTGTGTGTGTGTGTGTGTGTGTGTGTGTGTGTGTGTGTGTGTGTGAGCGCGTGAGCGAGCGCGCGTGTGAGCGTGTGTGTGTGCGCGTATGCGTGTGCGTATGCGTGTGCGTATGCGTATGCGTGTGCGTATGCGTGTGTGTTTGTTCCTGTTTTTTCTGTAGGATGGAGATGGTAGAAGAGACAGGAAATGATTGAGAAGATGTTGGGTGGGATCAGGAAATGACCCCGATCTGGCTTTCAGACTGGGGTCACCTCGGCTAAAGTGGCACCATGTATTTCACAGCCCAATTCCAATTTGTGTTAGATGTATGGTAGTTTGATTTTAATTTAAGACAAGCTCTGGTTATTTCCTGATCCCACCCACTATGTTCCCGTTATTGTTTCCTGTCTCCATCACCATCTCTGCCAGGAAAAGATAATATTGTCTTATTATCAGTCAAGTCTGGTGGTTAAGGCCCTGTTCTGGTGGTTAAGGCCCCCAATACTAGACGAAAATGTCTGAAAAATCCCATTCATGCAGTCACTTATAGACCCTCCTCTCAAAGAAATCAGCAAACCTGTTGAAAGTAACAAAACAAATGCAATATACTAGACGTTTCATATATATTTTTAGTATATTTTATTATTATTTAGGTTTTGGATTGACTCAAGTGCATCAAGTGTCAAGTGACAGTTCACTTTTCAGTGTTTAGTATTTAGTTTCTTAAAATAACACTACACTAATTTTGGAAATATACTCATTTTAAAAGTTAAGCAGTTGAGTTTTACCATATTTTCTTCCATTCAGCTGATTTCTGCATCTGGCGTGAATACTTTTAGCCAGAGATTTTTACTGTGGGGGAGATGAAAATGTCTGTATTACCATTGGAAAACCTTTAACGCTAACTTGGTCAGATGAAGCACTTCTTAGTCAATCACATATCGGCTTTTGTTCTCCTCCCCTTCGTACTGCCATAGAGGAAGTGTTAGCATAGCCATTATGCTTTCTTTAGGCTAATCTCTTCAGGCTTGCCCTTCAGTAGGCTTTGCTCTTAGCTTAGCTTAGCATAAATCATTGAGTCAGATTAGACCATTAGCATTAAAAAAATAAAACAAAAAAGTTTTGATAATTTTCCTATTTTAAAATAATAATTATTTTGATAAAATTTCCTATTTAAATCTTGACTCTTCAGTAGTTCCATTGTTATTTTATAGGCTGACATGTCTAGGAATGATAACCTATGGCATAATAATTTCAAAAATACTTTTGCTGGTGTACCCTGACTGCAGCAGGCGCATTGATAATACGCAGTGCTGTTATTTAGATACCTAGCTGGGGATTTTTTCAGGCGCTGCTTAATATTGTTAGTTTTCCTTTGAATGAAGTTAAATATCAATATGTGTCATCAAAATGTTTGGGAAAAAAAGTCAAATATTGTGGTGCAGTTGAATTTAGTAAAATCCAGCCATTTAAATAGGACTCAAGTGGTGCTTTGACATAAAAGTTCCCCATGCAAATATTTCTCGTGTTTCTGTTGGTGATGCAAATTTATGCTGCATTCACCAGTAAAAATTGCTTAATTTGAAAGTTCTGTTTAAGCTTCCCTGCACTAGTGACAATGGATTTTTATTGCCTGTGAAATCTCATTAATGTGACGGCACCATACTATTTCTAGCATCATCTGCTCTCCATGTGAACAGATCCAAACCATTACACTGAAGAGAAAAAAAAAGTTCTTCCTAATGCAGCTTGTGCTGGAACGGTGACATAGCTTTATGGGAAGAGCCCCCTCACAGCCCCCCAGGGCTTATCTCTGTTCCACTGTAGCGTGGAGTCTAAAAGTACATCTCCCATGACCCACTTATTTTTTTTTTTTTACTGATTTTGCTTCCCTGGGCTGTCAAACACTTTCCTGAACCCTGAATGATACTCATAAAGTGGTCTCTAAATGCTTACACTAAGAATAGTTTTTTTAAAATAGTATTTATTTATGAAAGGGATAGTTTGTCTAAAAAATGTCATTAACTAATACTAGAAAACGCAGATTATTATTATTATTATTATTATTATTTTTAATGATGCAAATATATCACAGAAAGAGTATCATGTGGCTTATGTCATATACATTCACTGGCCACTTTATTAGGTACACCTTTCTAACTGCTCGATAACGCAAATTTCTAATCAGCCAATGACATGGTAGCAACTCAGTGCATTTAGGCATGTAGACATGGTCAAGACGATCTGCTGCAGTTCAAACCGAGCATCAGAATGGGCAACAGTAGCAGAAGACCACACCTGGTGCTACTCCTGTTAGCTAAGAACAGGAGGCTACAATTCCCATAGGCTCACCAAAAATGCACAATAGAAGATTAAAAATATTTTGCCTGGTCTGATGAGTCTCAATTTTTGCTGCGACATTCAGATGGTCGGGTCAGAATTTGGCGTCAACAACATGAAAGCTTGGATCTATCCTGCCTTGTATCAACTGTTCAGGCTGCTGGTAATGGTGTAATGGTGTGGGGGATGTTTTCTTGGCACACTTTGAGCCCATTAGGACCAGACTACCTGGGTATTGTTGCTGACCATGTCCATCCCTTTAAGACCACAGTGTACCCGTCTTCTGATGGCTCCTTTCAGCAGGATAACACGTCATGTCATAAAGCGTGAATCATCTCAGACTGGTTTCTTGAACATGACAATGAGTTCACTGTACTCAAATGGCCTCCAAAGTCACCTCAATCCAATAGAGCACCTTTGGGATGTGGTGAAATGGGAGATTCGCATCATGGATGTGAAGCCGGCAAAACTGCAGCAACTGTGTGATGCTATCATGTCAACATGGACCAAAATCTTCGAGCAATATTTCCAGTACCTTGTTGAATCTATTCCATGAGAGATTAAGGTAGTTCTGAAGGCAAAAGAGGATCCTACCCAGTACTAGAAAGGCGTACCTAATAAAATGGCCGGTTAGTGTATTTAGTGTTTGTACAATGGGTTTTGCTTTAAAAAACAAAATTAAAAAAAAAAAAATATATATATATATATATATAAACCAAGTTTTGACTCAGAATTAAGCTTAGGTGTAAACTGTTTTGAGTATGTATATTTTTGAATGTGTACAATATAATCTTTTAAACTTTTTATTAATTCAAACATTTAATAACTTTTTTATTTCATAATGTAAAGTGATTGGAAACCACAGTAATGTTACAGAGTCTACAGTATAGTCACCCAGTTGAGCATAGCTTTTTTCCAATGAGGTGTTGGGCAACAGGTTTTGTTACTGAACAAAGCTGTAATGACTGTACGGCCATCTCTTTAATATGTAGATTGTATTAGCGCACAGCCTGTGAGCGTGCAGCTGGCCCACAGTTCCATTGTGAAGGCATCACGCCAATCGGTGTCGCCACGACAACTGTCGTCAATGGAACAACTGCATGGATGTGACCCTTCGCCACCAGATATTAATCATGCTGCTAAAAATAGCTGCTGATCTGGGGGGGTGACAATGGGTGGTCTTTACAGCCAATATCCTGTGGAAAATACCACTAGTAGACGCTCTGCGGGTAGAGATGGTGTCAGTGTTCACTAAGAAGGGCTGATGTAGTGATAAAGTGATAAATTATTATATTACACTGTTAAACAAAACGGTCTGCTTGTCGAGTCTGACGTCACGGGTGAGTTTCTGTATGCACACAGTTAGATGTAATACTGTTAAAAATGGTGGTGTGTATATTCATGCCCAATCTCAGATGGTCAAACAGTGATTCATTCATTTTCTTTACAGCTTAGTCCCTTTATGAATCAGGGGTCGCCAGCTTATGTTTTACACAGCGGAAAACCAAGGGATAGAGTTTTTTAAGCTTTGTTTTGGAAGAGTGAAGTCTGTGTAATACTTTGTATTGTATTGAATAAGGTAGTGTGTAGAATTTATAGAACATGATTAAACAGATAAAAGACATTGATTCCAGTCAGTCTCAGATATTGAAATCCCTAAGTCTTCTTCCCAAGCGACTTTCAAATGAAGAGAAGAAAAATCTGTTTTGTTTTTAAAAGCATTAACAAAGAGGTTAGGCCCCTAGCATTTAAAGAGTTTAAAAATAAATCAAATAATTCACCTTCTTAAGATAAAACATCGTGTAAGATTTTTTTTAATTTACTTTTTTTTTTTTTGGTATTTTAGGACAATAGTATCTTCAGCAGAAAAAATATCTAAAGATGGCATTTTAAGTTTAAAATTATAAAAGTTTAAGTTTAAAGAAATCTGTGTTTTTGAAACTAATGAAGATGGCAGAAGTCAATAATTAATTTAAATTATTAAATCTGACATATTATTTGTTATATATAATATAGTATAAATCTTGCAAAAAATAAAATATATTGTTTTCAAAGTTTTAGTTTTTTACACGGACATTTAAAAATAATATATTCTAAAGCAGCAATCACAATACCGTGAAACCATGATATTTTTATCCAAGGTTAACATACTATCAGAATCTTATGTTATGTAATCTTTCATGTTATGAAATCTTTTAAAGCTGAAAGTCCAGCTTTAAATGAGAAAATTATTTGATTTCATTTTTGAGAAAGGTGCTAATGGTCTAATCTGATTCAATGTTTTATGCTAAGGTAAGCTAAAAGTGCTTCTGACAGACCTAGGGCCTCATGTACAAAAACTTGCATTGAATTCATACTAAAACATTGCATACGGACAAAGCTGTAAATGTGCGTAAGCAGGAAAAAATTCAGATGTATGAAACACTGCGTACGCGGAATCCTACACACATTTTCTTTGTACATCCGAATTAACGTGAAACTGAGCGCATGTGCACAAGTGCAAAAACTCTCCCTGCCTCCTTCCTCTAATAAATATGGCAAAGACTCCACTTTGGCAAAACCAAAGAAAAAAGCAGTGGCAAAAGCAAGCAAGAAGAGAAACTTCACAGAATGTGAATTGGAGGTGATCCTAGCGGAGGTAGACCAGAGAAAAACTGTTATTTGCAAGTTTGTCCTCCGGAATTAATAACAAAAGAAAAAAAATAGAATGGGAGAGTTTAGCTGACGCAGTTAACGCAGTGGGGTCTGAACATCGCACTGTGAGTGAATGTGAAGGTGCAGGTTAAGAGGAGAACAGCGGTGCGCCATGAAAGTGTGGACCGAACAGGGGATGCTGAACTAACACCTTTTGAGGAAGGAGTTGCCTCAATTGAGGGCGACACTTTACTGTCTGGAGTAGGATCAGTGTCTGTGGGAGGCACAGATGTATTAGAGGAACACTTTGTTAGGGTGGTATATCAGCACCCCTCCGCTCTTATCAAGGCAGCGCCACCGGCATTTCAGCTGCCCAATCGCCCACTCTACAACTGACCGAGTGCCTGCCAGTGCCACCTTGGAACCTCATCCCAACCATGCTGTTTGTCAGGATGAATGAATCATGGGTTGACCAAGGCCACCTTGCTACAATATTTGTTAAGTGCATTTGAGCATGACATATTATTTGCACATTTATTGAATGGAAATGTTTCCGATTTGCATTTGCAAATTCGTCTTCAGATGGCGCCTTTATAGCAATGTGCGTGAAGTCGCTCGTTCAGATTACATTGGGAAAACCGGCGATCGCTGCAAATTGCGCTTTAATGTTTGGCTGGTCAACTGCATGTGTGGAAACCTTATATACCAACTAGACATGCGGACGATCCCGTCCCATCCAGCTGCCATTGCATGGCTCAGATACTTTGTGTTGTGCGATTTAACATAATTGCCTCTAGGAGTCGCCAATGGAAATAAAACAAACACAAGAAATGCATGTACGCCAGACATGAAGTTGGTGTGGACCATCGCACATTCTCACGTTAATTTCATCATTAGCAAATTCAAACGTGAGCGTGAAATCTGACGTACGGTTTTTCAAAAGGTTTAGTCTGGATTTAATTTCGGACTGAAAATTGATCCAGATTTAGTCATCTTTTTTTGCGATCCTTGATCATGTAATCCAGCTTGCTTTTTAAAACAGTATTTCAAAGCAACAAGGGATTGGATCAATCTGATCCGGATATGAGCTTTTCAGGATCCTCTGGATAGCCTGACAAATGAACAAATACAATTAAAACCTTATGAATAAATAGGATATCTTGTAAGATACTGCATGGTCCAAATATATTATTATTTGATACAATTTTTAAGTTTTCATTACTTTTTGGCCATGATATCCACGCTGAATCCCTTCTTCTGATGGTATCAGTTTAATCCAGATTTTTTGGATCAAAGTGATACAAATCCTACAAAAAAGGTCTGAAAAACCCAAACTAAAGGTTAGATCCGGATCAAAACCAAGATTAGATTACGTGATCTAATCTAACTATTTATTCCGTGTTTTTCTTTTGAAAAACCCATTTTCAAGATTTGATCCAATCCATTATCCAAAATCGTAGTGTATTTCTTTCGGAAAAACCAGTCCCTAGAGATCATCTGAATGGTTGTAAAAATGCTAAAACTCAACTAACAGTTTAACTCTAATGGAGTCACAAAACTGTTGTGTTCCTTTAACAAACAGATCAACATTGTCATGTGGTGTTTTAGCATTTTCCTTTGGATGTTGTTTTTGACTCTTATTTTGTTTCACAGAGGAATGACATTGCCATGGCCATCACTAAGTTTGACCAGTTTGACTTCCTCATCGATATCGTCCCCCGGGATGACCTGAAGCCTCCGAAACGACAGGTGCGGAAAACAGAGGCACCTCAAACTGTCACATTTAATCAGCATCTCCATTACTTGTTTTTTTCAGTCTACAGCATGTGAAGAGAAGACGGTGCTGTGTCGTTTCTGGCAGCTTGGGGGCGCTGTAAACATCCTTGACTGGAAGCTGGGTGTAGGGTTTGTGAAGGCTTTCAGTCGGATGTTTGCAGCACTCTGCTTCCCTTAACTCTGCACAACCAGACATCATATTAATGCATTTTGTCTATGCTTGTATTTTCTGAATGTGGCCATAGAATTATATGCAGAGCTCCAAAAGTTGCCACATGCGGTTTTATGTCGTAGCTCTGCCAGAGAGAAATGCATCTTTTTGCCAACCGGATGCTAATGTTACCAGTTATTCGAGTACTTCAGTTCTTTTAGTTGAAATGAGGAACTTTAACATGAAAATTTATGAGAGATTTATATGCTTCCACTTGTGCTTTGTGTTTACACTGTAGATGCCGCCAGTCACACCTTAAACACTTCATTCCAATGCTTCTGTTTATTAGCATTTTGTTTAAAGCTGCACACAGGCATATGCATTTATAAACTTTTTTCTGCTTTATAATTTTATCCTTTTTTAAAAAATGTAATTTCTAAATTCATTTTTCATATAATTAATTATTTTGTAATTTTTAAATAAAATAAAAAATAAAATAAAATATTTTTTAAATAATTTAAAATTCTTAATTTAAAAATTCACTTCATATAAGTTATTATTTTATTTGTTTAAATAAAATAAATAATTTTTAAAATAGTAAAAATAGTAATAATAATATATAATTTTAAATTTTAATTTATAAATTTACTTTTTCATGTAATTAATAGTTTGATCATTTTTAATAATAATAATAATAATGACAGTAATGCAAAAATTAAATGCATTACATTTATTTTATTTATTTATTTGCATAAATTTACATTTCCAAAAGTGATTTTATATGTATAGATGGCCAGTCACTCGTTAAGCACTTCATTGAAATGCTTCTGTCCATTAGCAGTTTTTTTAAACCTACACACATCCATATATGCATCTATAAGCTTTTTTTTCTAGTTTCTAGTTTTAAATAGTAATCATAATAATAATAGTCATAATATTTTAAATAATAATAATAATCGTCATGATAATTTTTCATTAACTATAATAATCAAGTAATTTATTATTACAATAAAATAAAATATTTTTAAAATATAATAATTGTAATAATAATAATAATAATAACTTTATCATTCTTAATTTAATTTCAGAATTCACTGTTCATATAATTATTATAGTTTTATATTATTTTTTAAATATTAAAATAAAATGCAAATAAAATAAATATGTTTTGATTATAATAGTAATAATAATAATTTATAACAATCATATAATTTATTATTAAAATAAAAATATGTAATTTTAATAATAATAATTAATAATTTAATTTAAAATTAATAATCAATTTATTTTATATTTTTTAATATTCGAATAAAATAAAATAATTTATAATTATTATATAATTTATTATTAAAACAATAAAAGTAATAGTAATTATATTTTATAATTTTATTTTATAAATAAAAGTAAATTAAAATATTTTTATGAATAATAATAATTTATAATTCTTAATTTAATTTCAAAATTCACTGTTCATTTAATTATTTTATTTTAAAAAATTGAAAAATAATTTATAATAAAATTAATGACATGTACATATTTATAACAAATTCATTATAATAAATTATAGTTTTTTGCATAAATTTAAATTTTTAATGTGTATAGAAGGCACATTGAATGCAGTTAACGTGTTTGCTTTAATGCTTTAAATAACTTGTTAACAAAACATTCCTTTAATGCAACAAACCAAAATCACGTACAAGTAATCCTAAATACGAGAGCAAGAAGAGAGTCGGCACATGAGAGGAAAGGAATTTAGTCAATATATACCCACTGATCCAAACTCTCACAGCAAGCTAAACCACTGTCTTTGTTTGCCACTGATGGGGTTTTATAGTCCTGCGGCGTTTTTTTGTGTGGCCAGGTGTGTAAACATCCTACACTCTCAGCTGTGACGTCACCAAGCTGGGAGAGGGATGTTTACTCTCTTTGCCACAAAATGAATCTTCAGGAATGCATGGGGGACGAATAGCCGACAGCCGACGGTTTGCCATGACGCCGCGGTTCGAGTGTGGGAGTTCAGGCCTCCGTCTGCAGCTGAAGGTCTCGTTTCTGTCCAGCTAGAAGATTGCGTTACTCGCTCTTGCTTTGCCTATAAGTTATTTATCTTCCTCCCGCCTCTAATGTTACAGAGCTAAAATAATTTATGGAAATGTAAGCAGCAGATAGGGCTTATTAACTCTTTATTTCGCAGGGCTGTCATGTTGGAATATATGTATTTTTCTTTAATATTGAGAAAAGCACTTAATAAACTGGTCTTTATTTAAGAAGTGGCAAACAGAATGGGTACAGAGTCCAAATATTAACTAATTATTATTATTTATTTATAATTATTTATAATTATTAATAACTAATTATTTGAAATAAATGCTGTGGCTTGTGTGAGATTTGTATATACCCTTTTAAATCAAGACATGAACGGTCTTGATAAGGCCATACTAGACTTAATCATTGACATTTGCTGAAAGCACCTAATATTAGCAGCTGCAACTTGTTTGCTTGTTGTTGTTTTTGGTAACACTTTAATTTTAAGGCGATGTAGTTACATGCTCCATGCATTTACTATAGCAGTTGCAATAAATTCTGCATAATTACTTCTAACTTACCCTAACCCCGTGTGAAAACTAGTAGTTAAATAAAAAAATGTTACACTCCAACAACGTCACTTAAAATAATAACAATTTTGTTGTTTGTTTGTTGGAATGTCCAATGTTTGATGTTACGATTTATATGATGTCACACTTTTAAAGATGTATTTATGGACCCAGAAAATATTCTATATATATATATATATATATATATAAATATACACACACACAATTTTTATTGAAAGAACAATTAAAGAATATTTTATAAAGTTGTTTATTTTGGGTGACATTATTATTTTAAGGTGTCTTTGTTACACTTCATATAGTTACTATAATAATTATAATTAGCTATGCATAATTATATGCAATTACGATATATATTTATATATAAGTTGTTAATGCTTCCAGATTCAAAAGAGTGCCCCAACAATGACTGAAGTCACAAAAATTAGAGGGTCCATTAAGTTAGTTAATTTTTTGGTGGCCAAAAATTCAGTATATCTCTGATATCAAAACACTTTTAGATTCCCATGGCAGCACATTGTGCTGTGTTATTGGCTTTTAAATCAATACGGAGTAAAAAAAGTCCAGAGATTAACATTAGCTATGTTTCCATCCATGTATTTTAATGTGCATTTTGGATATGCGCATTAAAAAAAATGATTGATGGAAACGCCAAGATGTGCATAAATTTTAGACAAAAAATACATGCGCAAGATAAACGTTTTATTCGATAAGAAAAGATGTGCATAAACTACGATAGATACACTTTTACCGAGCGTAATCCAGTATGCGCATTAAAAAAGGTCATGTGATTTTGTTATAAGTGATCAAATGATGATAAAAATGTGTGCATGGATAAACCAGACGGCTGAGCACATTGTAAAACATCTGAAATCATTCTAAAACGCCTTAACTATTTCAGTATTAGTGTAATTATATTATTAATGACCTCCAGAATCAAGAGCGTCTGTGTTTCGCGTCTCGCGCCTTCAAACACCTCCGCATCATCACTGCATGTCAGGGCTGCCTTCTGAGATGCAAGTCATTAATTCAGTGAAGAAAAGATTGACACAGCTTCACTTATCGTAGCAAATTCCGTTTTTGATGTTGATATTTGGCGCAAGTTAATCAGGAAGTGACGACTTTGTTCAATTTAACACGTCGAATGGAAACGCTGCTTTATTTGCACATCTTTAATATCAAAATGCAGTATTGCGCTTAAAGTTAATTAGCATTTTTGAATGGAGACATAGCTATTGTTATTGACAAATTTTATCGCGATTTGATAAATATCGTTTATCGGCCCAGCCCTAATAGTAAGTACATGTAAATAATTAATATCACTCAGTAGTTAAATAAATAGTTACACCGTAATGAGGACACCTTAAAATAAAGTGTTATGTTGTTATTAATAGTTTGATCTTTGTTGAAATCGAATATTTGTTTTTAGTGGATTCTATATTGTTAAAAATGTTATAAATGTGAAAGTGTTGTCAAGTATATCAACTTTATAATGGCTTATTTCCACTAAGCGGTACAATACATTTACGATATCCTTTTTTCAGTTTCCACTGACCGAAGTATCAACAAAAAGAATGGTACCATATCACTTTTTTCTGACCCTTTTACAAGGGTCAACAGTACGTTTCTAAAGTGTGTAACTAGAGTCACTGATTGATTCATAGCACAGGTGTCAAAGCAGGTTCCTGGATGGCCGCAGCTCTGCACAGTTTAGTTCCAACTCTTAATTAAACACACTTGATCAAAGTAATTGAGTCCTTCAGGCTTGTTTGAAACCTACTGGTAAGTGTGTTGGAGCAGAGTTGGACCTAAACTGTGCAGAGCTGCGGCCCTCCAGGAACTGGCTTTGACACCTGTGGTTTACAGGGAATTGTCACTTTTAAATGCAATAAAACCAAGGGGAACGACAACACAGGAAGTGCCATCTTTAAATACACCGCCAAAACACAACACTGTAATAGTACAATGACTGCAACGTGTGATCGCAAATATAAAAATATATCTTTGACCAAAAATGACCTTACTTTGTTGTTCACCAAACATATTAACTAAGGGTACTATTGGCAGTGCAAACGCAAGCGTGATCAGAGTGAGCCGTTCCAAATCACACTGTACTGTACTGCAGTGTTTCCTCAACCCCGTTCCTGAAAGCACACCAACAGTGCACATTTTCAACCTCTTCCTACTCAAACACTCCTGAATCAACTCATCAGAACAATAGAAGAGACTCCAAAACCTGAAGTCTGATAAGGGAGACACCTAAAATACATACTGTTGGTGTGCCTTCAGGAACAGGGTTGGGAAACACTGCTGTATTGAACCGTACCGCTCAGTGGAAAAGAGGCTTCAGATGCTAATATGGCAATCATCATAAATACTGCTGCTGTCTATAATTAAGCTTTTTTGTGTAGGAGGAAGTTCGTCAGTCTGTGGCCCCGACTGAGCCTGTCCAATATTACTTCACGTTGGCGCAGCAGCCTAGCGCAGTGCAGGTCCAAGGGCAGCAGCAGGGCCAGCAGGTCTCCGCTCCCACCGCCACCACACTACAGCCCGGCCAGATTATCATCGCTCAGCCTCAGCAAGGCCAGGTAATGCCCGCACCATCGCCACAAGCACATGGATGTCCAACTTAAACTAGAGCGCCATCTGCTGTTAAAACTAGCCTAGAGCGCCATCTGCTGTTAAAACTAGCCTAGAGCGCCATCTGCTGTTAAAACTAGCCTAGAGCGCCATCTGCTGTTAAAACTAGCCTAGAGCGCCATCTGCTGTTAAAACTAGCCTAGAGCGCCATCTGCTGTTATAATCTAACCTAGAACGCCATCTGCTGTTAAAACTAGCCTAGAGCGCCATCTGCTGTTAAAATGTAGCCTAGAGCGCCATCTGTTATTAAAAACTAGCCTAGAGCGATGTCTGCTTTCATAAACTAGCATACAGTGCATTTGCCTAGTGCCATCTCCTGTCTAAAACTAACCTGAGGCGCAATTTTCCTTTTAAAAACTAGCCAAGAGCAATATCTGCTGTTAAAAAACTAGTCTAGACTGTAATTTTCTTTTTAAAAACTAGCCTAGAGTGCCGTCTGCTGTTTAAAAACTAGCCTTGAGTGCTGTCTGCTGTTTAAAAACTAGCCTAGAGCGCCATCTGCTGTTAAAAACTAGCCCAGACTGAAATTGTCTTTTTAAAGACTAGCCTTGAACACCGTCTGCTGTTTAAAAATTAGCCTAGAGCATCATTGGCAGTTTAAAAATTGACATAGAGCACCACCTGCTGTTAAAAACTAGCCTAGAGCGCCACCTGCTGTTAAAAACTAGCCTAGAGCGCCACCTGCTGTTAAAAACTAGCCTAGAGCGCCACCTGCTGTTAAAAACTAGCCTAGAGCGCCACCTGCTGTTAAAAACTAGCCTAGAGCACCATCTGCTGTTAAAAACTAACCTAGAGCACCACCTGCTGTTAAAAACTAGCCCAGACTGAAATTGTCTTTTTAAAGACTAGCCTTGAACACCGTCTGCTGTTTAAAAATTAGCCTAGAGCATCATTGGCAGTTTAAAAATTGACATAGAGCACCACCTGCTGTTAAAAACTAGCCTAGAGCGCCACCTGCTGTTAAAAACTAGCCTAGAGCACCACCTGCTGTAAAAACTAGCCTTGAGTACCGTCTGCTGTTTAAAAACTAGCCTAGACCTTAATTTTTTATCTAAAAACTAGCCCTGAGTGCCTGTTAAAACTAGCCTTGAGCGCCGTCTGTTGTTTAAAAACTAGCCTAAAGCACCACCTGCTGTTAAAAACTAGCCTAGACCTTAATTTTCTATCTAAAAACTAGCCTTGAGCGCCATCTTCTGTTAAAACAAACTCAGGTTATAATCAATTCTAGAGAGAATAACGATGCATTTAGTAAAGCTCAGAATGGACACAGAAAGGATTTCTGAGCACCGCTCTAGTTAATGGCAGTAATATGCAGTAGGATATATGGCAATGACAGCATGCTGAATATTTTATGGCCAGATAAGATTAACAGCATATAGAACAAAGGTTACTGGTAAATGAAAATCCACTTACTGCATACAGTTTTCAGCGCTGTAGTAATATTTCTTCAATATGCTTTTTAACACAGAGCAATGATGACTCATCCTGCATGACACAGCAAACGATGACTTATGGCTCTATATTTGCGAACCATATAAACGTAACAAACAGCTTTTCTATACGTCCCACCCAAACTTCCTGTTTTAATAAGAAATGTGTCAACGCAGGAAAGAGAAGCAGAGGACATTGTTTGCCCTTGTAATTACCCCAGTGTATATTATGCTACGGTCTGGTGGACAAAAGCCTTGAAACTTTATCGCACTTACTCTCTCGCGCAACACTTGAGCCCTGATTACTTTGATCAGGCCATTACAGGATCATTTGAAACATGATTGGTGAAGGTTGAAAGCCCAGAGGTGTCATTCACACGTCGCTATCAGGTGAACAGTAGAGAGTCCAGACTGTCTCTAATGTGATGCATGTGTTAAGCGTTTTAGCAGCAGCCCTTTTACTAAATCTCCTGTTTTGTTGAATTTGATTAATTTATCTTGTGTTCATTAGTTTAATTTCTCCTCGGGTGCTCTTTCTCACCTTCTCTCTTTCTCTGAGGATCAGTGCTGCTTCAGCAAGCTGCAGTTTGCTGACCTGTCAGACTCGGCCAAAGATGTGCTGCAGTCACCTTAGAGAGGTTTCAGGACAAATACATATACAGCAGGGTTCAAAAATTGTCTCACCACACTGAAACTGAATTTCTACCTGGTAGTCATTTATTTCTCTTCATTTTATTTATTTATTTTTTGAGAGATGGAGAGTGGGAGAGATTCTTCACCAAACTCCAGAGCATTTAGTCTCAATTCACAAAGTTGAAAACACAAAAACACAAAAAAAACACAAAACTTCAATATTTATTAGAGGAAAAAACAGATTGTATCTTTCTACGTGCACAATACATTAATGCCCATCACCAAAGAGAGAGGAGACCAATAAAAACATCAGTGATGCGCTTGCAAACACACACAAACACTTCTAGATGGTTATAAATTAATCTAAGTATTCTAATTATTATTATGTATTATTACTGTTTTATACTAAATGTTGATTGTTAAATGTAAAGCTTATTCTGATTTATTTTTTATTGTTGTTTATTTTTTTATTATTATTTACTATTATTATTTATATTTTACTGATTACAATGGTTTACAGTATGTACATGTTTTTATTTAAACTTTTATAAATGCTTTGGCATAAAATTTAATATTATTATTTAATACTATTTACTGTTTACTATGATTTATGGATATTTTTTTATTTAAACTTTATAAATGCTTTGGCATAACTATTATTATTATTATTATTATTATTATTTACTACTATTTATTGTGTTTACTGTTTTATGTATATGGTTTTTGTTTTATTTAAACTTTCTAAATGCTTTGGCATTACATTTGTCATTATTATAATTATAATTAATTATTATTATTATTATTTTATAATTATTATTATCATTATTATTATTTACTACTACTACTACTTACTGTGTTTACTATGTTTTATGTATATGTTTTTTTTTTATATTTAAACTTTATAAATGCTTTGGCATAACATTTGATGGGAAAAAACAATAAGTTAATTTATGTATGGTGTGTAATTTTGGATTGCACATTTTTAATTCGGGGTGTATACTTAAAGCTAATCAGAAATGACATTAAAAGCCTTTCTGATGTTTCAAAAAATTTAATTTCAAATCTCTTGGTTTGAATTTTCATCAAAGAATCTTAAAAATTTATATCAGTTTTCACAATGTATGAATTATTTTATTAATAATTACAAAAAAGAAAAAAACACTATGTATGAACGGCAGCTCAAAAAGCTTCACAAAATAGAAGAGCATTAACGGATTTTGATGTAATTTGTACAAAAAATTATCTAATGTTCTTGTAATGTACACAGTGACTTATCTGTCACACAATATATTTAAGACTCAACAAATTTAAATAATACATACTAAAAATTAAAACATTTTGTAGAAACAAGATTTCAAATTCCATGTAAACTGCAAGTAGCCATTATTCCCTTATAGCAAACTAACAGTCTGTGGCCGTGGTTGAGAATATGGTGGCTCAAGTGCAAATTGGTAAGACTTTGATTTAAAGATTACCAAAACATTTTTTTTTTCATTGGATAGTTAAAACTCCAGTAAAAAATGCCAGCCACATTTATAAGGAATTTTGAGAAAACAATCGTTCCTTCAAGCTCTCTTTTGTTTACCTTTTATGCAACATTGATTGTTAAGGGTTTTTTTTCTTCATACCTGAGGACAGAGAACTGCATTGGCTTCATTTCACTGTCTGCTCACTGCTTTGTGCCGCTAAATGCTGTCATTTCTCCAAATGAGATTTTTTCTATTATTATTTTCATATTTCACTATTCTACTATTATTTTCAAATTTGACGCCTCTGCTGCTGCTTTAAGCTTCAGTTAATGCCTGCTTGCACCATTTCTGAAACTACACAATGACACAGTTAAATATTCACAGCAAAATCACACACTTTTGATTTAGCAACACTAAACTCAATGCACTTTTGTCAGAATTTTCCTCCAAAAAGCTTTTTGGGTTGTTTTTTAAAAATTAAATAATTACATATAGTAGCATTTTGATAAGTTATTCTGATTTTAAGTCCTTTAAGTGCACATTTTTGAGTAAAAATATGATTATAATGTGAATATAGCTATGTTTCTATCCACCTATTTTTATGCACATTTTGAATATATACATAAAATAATGATTGATGGAAACGCCAATATGTGCATAAATTTAGCAAATGCGCATAATAAAAACGTATGCGAAACTGAGTAGTATGAACTTTTTATTCAATAAGAAAAATGTGCATAAACTATGATGGAAACTTTCATTCAAATATTCTTTGTGTGTTGGCATTATCTTCTAAGGCACAAATCATTTATTAAATAAAGAAAAGATTCATGCAGCTTCTGCTTCCGCAGCACAATTTAGTTCTTTTATGCTGCGTTCAAACCAGACGAGTGATTTACAAGTCAATGCAAAACGCTAATAGACATCATGCAGCACGAATGAGGCCCTTCATTAGTGCGAATTGCGTCATTTGCGAATATCAAGCGGCTACGTTCACACCAGACGCGAAAGAAGCATCAAGCGCGATTGATTTACGCCCTTGTCACATGAGGCATCAGTGTCAGCGCTTCCCTTCACTTTGAAAAGGTGATGTCAGGTGTTGCAGAACTGCATTGTAGATCCATCGGCGCTGCTTTAGTGGTGTGTTTGCTGCAGAAGTTGGGAAATTCTCAACTTTTCAAGCGCCAATGGAAACGTCAGCCAATCAGATTGCTTCATGCAAATACCCTAGCTCAGACAGTAGCCGATTACGGACTAATTTCATTGGTTGATGCTGCTATGGTGATCGCGCCAGCCCCAACTTCAGACACGTCCTCGGTCAAGAGTTAATGCTAAAGCCCTGTGTGAATGCACGGTCACATGTGAAGTCAATACAAAGACGCGAATAGACATCCTGCTGTGCGATACGCACGAATAAGGAAGTGCAAGTTAAGCGTTTTGCACGATTGATGCGCATATTGCGTGTTTCGCGCAATCGCTTGTATTTGAAAATCTGAACTTTAGCTGACATTCGCACCATGTTAACCAATCATGAGCTTGTTCTTGTGGGCCCATGCTTATGACGTAGTGCCAGTTCATCAAACTGGGCTCGGCTCAGTCAGTAGCACCGCTAAAAGCCTCCGTCATCCAGGTTAAGTTTCTGGAGGAGTTTATGACCTCACAGAGCTGTGTGCACTTTTGAAAGCATCTAGTAGACTCAAGACACTGCTCCAAACAAATCTAAGCTTGTTTTTAGTCTTCCTAAAGCACATAAACACAGCTAATCTCAATAAAATCCATGTTAGCCATTTAGCAACAATGCTAGAGTCACCGGGTAGGCCGAAGCACTCCCCATCACGCGTCTGTTGTGAAGTGAATTTGTCGCGCAAATAAAGCAAGTAAACTCAAAATATTCATGCTTCTATTTACGCACGAATAGCGCAATTAATACACGCATGCCTCGTCTGGTGTGAACACAGCATTAAACTCGTGGGATGAAACCGTTGCTTTATTCGCACATCTTTTGTGTGATATTCCAGTTTTATGCATATTTAATTAGCATCTATGGATGGAAACATAGCTTATGTCTGTTCATTTGCTTCACTATGCATCACACTTTTTCATTTCTTTCACTATTTGTTGCTTTTCGGTGCATTGCCTTTTCATGTGATGTTGGAGTATGCGCTTTTGCATGTGCTTGCTTGTGCTGTTAAGTTCACTCTGTTTCTGGCATTGTTTGCTCCTCTTCCTCAGGTATTGCAGGGAACCACCATGCAGCAGCTGCAGCAGGTGCAGGTCGCTCAATCTCAGGCGACCCCCATCACGGTAAACACCTCAAACCCTGCAAAAGCACTTCTTTGATGCCCTACAAGGGGCATTTGTCATTAGAAGAAGAACTGCATTTCAAAGCACAATGCAGATATAAAAATATCCCCCTTTGGGTGTTATACATAACGTACTATACATTAATCAATGCTGCAAACAGAAGCAGATGGTACTATGGAGATACAGTGTTAGTGCCTGAGCTCAGTCGTCTTACTGGTGTTATGCAGCGTGTATTAGTTTGATTTAAATGTATTAGTAGTTTAATTTTTGCATAAACAAATATAAAATATCTTCTAAGTGTAAAAAAACATTAATAAATGTCATTTAAAAGCATTTTTGCAGAACATTTAAAAAGGACATTTCCAGAATAGCACAGGTTTTCAGTTGTTATGATTGGAAATTAGGGGTGGCACGGTGGCTCAGTGGTTAGCACTGTCGCTGTTTCAAGTCCGGGCAGGGCCAGTTGGCATTTCTTTGTGGAATTTGCATGTTATCACCGTGCTCCGGTTACTTCCACAGTCCAAAGACATGCACTATAGGCAGGGCTGGACTGGGACAAAAAAAATCAGCCCTGGCATTTTGGTACAGAGTGGCCCACTACATTCAAATCAAAATGCTCCCCATCTGTGCACGCCCTTGAATATGATTATCAACTCCCATTCTATAAAAGCACAAAAGCCATATATAGGAACAATTAAGAGTTGCCAAATTAAAAAACTTAAAATTTTAATTTATTATTATAATAAAATTATAAGTCCAACTTGTGTGTGCCTATGTGTTTTGAGCCTATATTAAATAATGAACAACAAAAACTGCCTTCTGATGCACACAGTTAATGTTGATTACCAAATTAAAGTTTTATATTAAAAGCAGTGTGTCAGAGACACTTAAAAATGTTTAACTCAACAATGAAACTTCAAACATAACTTAAAGATTGTACATAGCCAATCAAATGAACTTAAACAATTAAAAAGTCCAACAAGTATTTGTTTGGGCCTAAACTACAAAATCAAATGTAAAAAAAAATAGTATTAGTTTTGCTTGAGTTGCGCACTAGTTTGGTCATGTATACATATCATTATAACCATATTGTTTAAATATTATTGTCACTATAAGCATACGTCATGCTGACGATCAAAAACACAATGTCATGATATCTCATGCGATTGTCTTCTGACAGAGTGCATCTTAGAATACATGACCGACACTCCTCATAGAGCTCGAGAAGCAGACATTCTTTATGATGTATTTCGTTTTTAAAATAAAGGCTTGCAGGTTAAGGAAACAGCATAGGAGGAAGTTGCTGCGTCTTTGGTGCAGATGAAAAGTAAAAAAAGTATATTTATATGGACAGATAGGCAACTAGATAGAAGAGACGGGATTATATTCATTTGTGCAACAGTTGACGATCCGCTCCTCGCTGCAGACGCAAAAGGCAAACGCCTGCTCCATGCTGCTTCTGCTCTCCATATCCTCACGTCGGGTGAGAAACAGGCGTGACTCCCGACTATATTGACAAATACACACCAATGTTGCACGCTTGGTGTCCAAAATGGAAGTCTGTGGTTGGGTCAGCCCAATAAAATACTAAAATAATAATAATAATTTTAAGGTCAATATTATTAGCCCCCATATATATATATATATATATATTTTTTTTTTTTTTTATAGTCTACAGAAAAAAACACTAATACAATTACTTGCCTAATTAACCTAGTTAAGCCTTTAAATGTCACTTTAAGCTGAAAATTAGCATCTTTAAAAATATCTAGTAAAATATTGTGTTGTCATCATGTCAGATAAAAGAAATCATTTATTAGAAATGAGTTATACAAACTTTATTAGAAATATGATAAGTACAAGTGTAAAATAAATACAGGGGGCCTAATAATTCTGACTTCAACTGTATATCTGATAAAATAAATGATCCAAGCATGGAATTAAAGGCTGAATTCTCCTAAACAGCAGATATTATTGACCAGGGCAGAATCTGCAATTCATATGTCCTCAACCTGATGTTACATGAGGTCACGGTACGTCTCGGGCCAGATAAAGTTGTGCTGCTTAATAAATTGTCCCGTGCTCTCGGGTGTCAGTTCCTGAAGAGGAGAGATCGTCTGTCGCACCTCCGCAGTCCAGGTTTCTCCGCTCCACACGAGAAGCCCGGGGTCACAGTCTCGCATCTCTCCTCTTTCCTCAACACTTCTTCAGTTTCACTTTCTTTTGGAGAGCTTCCCATATTCACAGGAGAGTGTTGAGCTGCGGTTCTAATGCTAGACTCTCTGGTTCAGCTTAAACCTTTATGGGATCCTTAATGCAATGTTCATTTGGGAAAGTCCTTGTGTTGTTGGGGGTCATTACAAGGCTTTTGTGGCTGAAAAGAAAAACATATTGTAATCAATGTCCATGAAGTGACTATACAGTTGAGGTCAGATTTATTGGGGCTTATTATTTTGAATTTCCTTTGAATTTCTTTTTCTTTTTTAAAATATTTTTTCCAAATAATGTTTAACAGAGCAAGAAAATTTTCACAGCATGATGATAAATATTAATTATTCATTAATTGTTAAACGGGGGCTAATAATTTAGGGGGAGGGGGAGTAATAATTTTGACTTCAACTGTACATAGTTCTTCAATTTCTAACTGCATTTTTTCATCTGTTGAAGTAAAGCAGATGTGTCCTGTAACTTGATGCTGGTTGGTTTAGTCTGGTTAAATGGAAATGTCAATAGAATGATTTAATGCCTTTTCTCTTTCTCATCTTTTTCCTTTTCATCTTATTTTTTCTTCTTTTTCTTAAATTTCTTATGATTATTCTTTAAAAAAAATTGTTTTCTTGTTATTTTTCTTTGATTTTCTTTTTCTTTTTTTCTTTTTACTTTGTTCTTTTGCTTTTTTCTTTCTTTCCTTTTTTCTTTCTTTTCTTCTTTTGCTTTCTTCTTTCTTTCCTCTTTTATAATTTTAAGCTTTTTTCTTTATCCTTTTTTTCTTTCTCTCCACCCTTTAATTTCCTTTTTCTTTTGCTTTTTATTTCGTCTTTCTTTTTTGCTTCTTTCTTTTCTAATTTTTCTTTCTTTTTGCTTCTTTTTCTTTCTTTTCTGCTTTTTTGCTTTTTTCTGCATATTTTGCCTTTTACTCCTTTCTTTTCTTCTTTCCTTTTTCTTTTTTCCTTCCGTCTTCTTTTCTTTTTCTTTCTTTCCTCCTTTTTTTTCTTCTTTCTTTTTTCCTTCTTTTGCTTTTTCTTTTCTTCTTTCTTTCCTCCTTTTTTCTTTTTCTTCTTTCTTTTTTTTCTTCCTTCCTTCGCTTTTCTTTTCTCATTTTTCTTTTTTTTCTGTTCTTCCTTTTCTTTCTTTTCTTCTTTTGTCATTCTTCTTTTTTCTTTTTTTAATCTTCTCTTGCGTTCTTTTCTTTCTTTTGCTTTTTCTTCACCTTCAAATGTTTTCTTGATTTACTGGATTTATAACGTATGGATGTAACTTATTTCATAGAGATCTTATAATTAAATACATTATACCTAATTACAATACATCATACTCTATTACAAATGTTCTCTTAAATTTCCATTTCTCTGTGTGGACGCGTGTCAACATTTGAAGTCGATCAAAAGGTTTGAACTACTGAACAACGTCCATTCTTGTCTAAAGACAACTTTTTTTGATCAAATGTTGACAACTGCGTAAATGCATAAATGTCTACACGGGTACTATTTTTGTAATGCAAGTATATTACACAATATAACTGTTGAAAATGCACACATTTCTGGAAATATATCCTCATCTTACAACTCTCATAGCAGTTGTAAATTGACTGTAAAACATGAATTGTTGGGAGCTGCAGTTCAGCCCTCATGCTTTCATCCTTCTACTTTCAGAGTGCTCCGGTGACCATGCAGGTGGGCGAGGGTCAGCAGGTGCAGATCGTCCAGGCTGCTGCACAGGGACAGGCCCAGGCACAGACAGCACAGCCAGCCGGACAGACCATGCAGGTCATGCAGCAGATCATCACCAACACAGGAGAGATCCAGCAGATTCCAGTAAGAGGATGTCACGTTTACCTTTTTGTTTCATGATTGTGGTCTCTTTAAATGAGCTCTAGGCTAATTATGGGTACAGTAGCATATGTGGTGTTCATGAAGACCAGACTGATTTGCTGTTAGATGGAGGTGATGTTGTGTTCATCTGCGCCCTCTTGTGGTGGTGTTCTGCAGGTGCAGCTCAACACTGGCCAGCTGCAGTACATTCGCCTGGCTCAGCCCGTCTCAGGAACACAGGTGGTTCAAGGACAGATACAGACACTCGCAGCAAACACTCAGCAGGTAAATCATGAATACACACACAAACTGATTTCCAGATGAGATTTTACTGTGATATTTTTTACTGACACATTATTTTTGGTCACACTAATAATACGTGATTCTCCTTTTGAGAAATTGAGGATTTTCTTATGATACATACCTTTTTATAATTTTGATTAGTGTAATTAATAATGGCTGTTATTTTTTGATGATTGTTTTTTTTTTTTTAGCTTTCACAAACAGAAGTACAACAGGGTCAGCAACAGTTCAACCAGTTTACTGACGGGCAGGTGAGGACTTTTCTTCTTTATTTAATTTATCCATTGGGCAAAACATGTTAGCCCTCCTTGTGCTGCCAAAACAGCGCCAACTTACCGAGGCATGGACTCGGGGGTCTGCAACATATTTTGTAGTATGGACCAGTGTTCGTATTAACAATTTTTAATGTATTTTAGTTATTATGTACATAATTACATCTATATCACAAATTCATACAACAACAAACTAATACATCTCACTATAATAGAGAGAGTAGAGAGAGAGATGTTTGTTTCCCACTCATGCTGTAGTAACTGTATCTTATAAAGATTGGCGTCACACCCTTTGCATTGTAAATATGTTGGTAAGCAACGCAAACAGATGCCAATAATGGCGTTGTTTGTACCTTCATAAAAAAAGCTTTAAATTTCTAGTAGGGGAGCTGTGCACCGCGTCTGGTCTGCTATGTACACAGATATGGATATTGATTGTTGAAAGGAAGACTCAAAATAAAGTGGGATCTCGGAAAGAATTTTTTGCAAGAATACAAATTTACACTTTCACTGCATGAGACACGAGGAACAGATGCTTTGTCAAGTTGTGAATTTATTTTTTATTTTTTTATTTTTTTAATTAGACAATTTCTAATCTTTAGTATTTTCATTTTTTAAAATGTTTTACTTACAGTTTCATTTCACTGTTGTTTATATACTATGAAGACATTAAGGCGTTAATCTGGGGTCATTTTTGGATTTTATTTTGGGCCGGTCCTGCTTTATATTAAGTGGTCGTAACTACTTGGTACTTGCATGTACTTATTTTATTCATATTGTTTTGCACAACACTTATGGAGCTACTGATATTTTTTCAAGACACATTTATACAGCTTAAAGTGACATTTAAAGGCTTAACTAGGTTAACTAGCTTAATTAGGCAGGTTAGGGTAATTAGGCAAGTTATTGTATAATGATGATTTGTTCTGTAGACTATCGGAAAAAATATATAGCTTAAAGGGGCTAATGATTCTGACCTTAAAATGTTGTTTAAACAATTCAAAACTGCTTTTATTTTAGCTGAAATAAAACAAATAAGACTTTCTCCAGAAGAAAAAATATTATCAGACATACTGTGAAAATTTCCTTGCTCTGTTAAATATCATTTAGGAAATATTAAAAAAAAAAAATTTTAAAGGAGGCTACAAATTCTGACTTCAGCTGTGTGTATGTATATATATGTGTATATATATATATATATATATATATATATATATATATATATATATATATATATATATATATATTAGAGGTGTGAACCTATACTGGTCTCACGGTTCGGTTCGGTTACGATTATCCTGCCTTCGGTTCAATTCGATATTTCGGTGCATCACGGTGCATTGACGATGCTTTCCATATACAGTGTTATATTTTAGAGGGGAGGCTATAACAAGCTGTCTGTATAGACACACAGCACCACACTGTCTCTCATTCAAACACAAACATAGACGGCACCAAAGAAACAAACACACACACACGCACACACACACACTCAAGCCCTCGCAACTGGAAGAGCTCGCCAAGAGCGGAGCAGAAAAACGAAAAAAATAAGCACTTTTCCGACGGTCCCTTACAGAGAGCTCCTCTCAGCGCGAGCTCTCCCGGCTAAAGTAAACGCAGACTGCGAGGGCTTAAACGGAGCAGTGCTCGTAATGCGGGCCTGGTTCAAGGCAACTGTACTTAGTCTGATTATGCCCTAAGAGTGTCCCGTAATTTCCAATCCCATTGTTGATAGTAATGGTCATGGTTAGTCATGTAACCTATTGCTTTAATGTCCTTAAATGAAACACTGACGCATATTTAAAAGCTATTTCCTTCATTTAACAGACATTTTCTGACTGCAACATTTCAGAAATATAATTTAGTGACATCTAAAAAAAAAAAAATGAATGTTGGGAATGTTGTCAGTAGTAGTCAGTCTCCATTAACACCCGATGCCTCTCCTGTCCCTGTGCCCCTGCAGCAGCTCTATCAGATCCAGCAGGTGACGATGCCGGCAGGACAGGAGCTGACCCAACCCATGTTCATCCAGTCCACCAATCAGACAGCTGACGGGCAGGTCACTACGCAGGTCAGCGCAGACTGAGCCCATCCATCATGAAGCCCCCCCGGCACTATCAAAACAGTGGAGGAGGAGACAAACAACACCCAAACCTTCCACTTCCCATCATCTCTTCATCAAGACGTCAATCCAGAAACCCAATAATAAACCTTAGATTCAAGCTTCCCATAATTTACCGTCCAAAAACAGTTTGGGTCTCTTCACTGAGTGATGGAAGGATCAATGTATAGCGGCAGAGGTTTGCTTTCTGCCATTGATTTCAGCTACGTGTCTTCTGCAATATGGAGTATGAACCACTGTCTTCCTCACAGTATAGGTTGATATGTCCTCGTTTCATAGTTGGGCTAGAGATTATGCTTCAGTGATAGTGATATTAGGGTAAAACCAGAGCTGAAGGGCACTTGGGCTTGTACAGTGGTCTTTATTTTTTAATTTCTTTTATTAAGCCCTCACCCAGATCATGCCATCTCATGATGTGTAGACTTCTAAACTCGATGATTAAAAGCCATAATCTACACATTCTGTATCTCTGTAGTTTGGTTCTGTGATTGATTAGTAATGGTAATAGTTCTGTTGTAGTATCTCTTGTATAGTTTTTGATAAGGTTGTGTTTGTTAAAGGGCTTCTTCTTGTTGGGTTTTCTACATGCAGAATGGTCCCCCCCCCCTCTCTCTCTCTCTCGGTGTGAATGTGTTTGAATGTGCTTTTTCCTTGCGTGTCTTTCTGGACCACATTTAAAGAGGCTTCCTCTGCTGGAAACGGAACAGCTCTATTGTTACCTTCCTAATGAAATAAAACCCTTTTTATATAAACATTTTAATTATTATTTTTTTTAAATCACCCTTTTGTTGTTTTTTCATATCATAAATGTTGGTCGTGTTGTTATTTTGCATGTAGTTATGACTGCCAGCATGATATGCAATACCTAGGTACAGATTTTATTTTTGTGTTTTGTGTTTATTTTGTAAACAGACCTTGGTTTGTGAAAAAATAAAATCATAAAAATGATGTAATTTGTACTTTAACACACACACACACACACACACACACACACACACGTACGTTTGTATTTGTGAAAATTGGGAACATTACATGGGTTTCCATTCATTTTATACTGTCCAAAACGTATATTGTATTGCCCTGAACCCACCCCACCCCTAAACCCAACTATCACAGGAGACTGTGTGCAGCTTTACTCTCCGATTAAACTCATTCTGTAGGATTTTTAAGCATTTTGAGAAGTGAGGACGTCACCGATGTCCTCATATTTCACCTCTTTTTTTTGTAATACCTGTGTCATACCTACGTCATTATACAGATTTGTGTCCTGATATGTCACAAAAACACGCACACACACACACACATATACAGTACATGTTTGTATGTTTCAAGCTTGTAATACAGTTTCATTTCATTTACAAACCAAATTAAGGCCCATATTAGTTTAAAGGGAGCTGTTTTTATTAGGTTATTATCTTAGAGTACGTTTATTTTGGACTGTGAGAAAATTGGGTATGCTTCTGACGTCACAGCCCCTGGCGCGCGCTAGCGTTTTCTCTCACCACACGGAGGCGACATTTCAAACTGACTGGTGCTCAATCACTCGCACATTTGGGATAAATAAGGTATATGTAAACCTGTTTTTTCCTTTACTGATAAACATCCGGTGAACTGTTAATGTGACTTTTTTCCATTTTATAAGATTCCAATCAGTGTTGTTATATAATTAATATATAATAAGTTAAAGACACGTTGGCATTCGTTTAGTTGCTCGGGCGTAAAACGAGGTAAAAAGCCGTTTGTACACACGTGCCCGTCAGAATTAGCAGGCTAGCGCAGAAGCTCTTTTAAAAGTACTGGGGTAAAATAAATGTTCATATTTTTAAGATATGGCAGAGGAAATTGTAATTTAATGCAGTGCTTCTTGTACATTCTGAGACCCACTTTATATTAACTATCACTAGCCAGTGGAGATCGCAGATTTTTAAAAGAAAACAGACTTAAAACTCACCGATTTTGTAATTGCATACAGTTCAGCAGATGAACTTGACCCAGGATACTGACAAATTAAAAGTTCTTCCACATATACCCTATACTGTGGCCTTTGTGTAATCGAATCTTCAAATGGTTCATTTCATTTTCTGAACACAGTATTTTAAATTATTTTAATATTCTAATTATATACCCCTGCTGAAAAATCCAGCTTAAACCAGCCTAGGCTGGTTGGCTGGTTTTAGCTGGTCAACCAGCCTGGTTTAAGAGGGGTTTTGGCCATTTCCAGGCTGGTTTCCAGCCATTTCCAGCCTGGTCTTAGCTGGTCAGGCTGGAAAATGACCAGCCAAATCCAGCTAAAACCAGCTTGACCAGCCTGGTTTAAGCTGGACATAGCTGGTTTTGGCTGGGCTCCCAGCCTGGCTAGGCTAGTCAAGCTGGTTTTAGCTGGTCATCTCCCAGCCTGACCAGCTAAGACCAGGCTGGAAATGGCTGGAAACCAGCCTGGAAATGGCCAAAACCCCTCTAAAATCAGCCTGGTCGACCAGCTAAAACCAGCCAACCAGCCTAAGCTGGTTTAAGATGCATTTTTCAGCAGGGACTAAATTACAAATTTAGCATTTAAAAACATAATGCTTTTTAACGGTATTGTAATGTGTGCCTAATGAGAGCTTGAATTACCCTAACGGCTTAAGAAGCAATATTATTAGTTAATTCGTTTATTACTGCATTTAAAGTCAATATTAAGAAACATATTGCTTTAATCAAGCATTTGTGTTGTTAATTTGAACACTGATGTGTATTTAAAATATTTCCATCAATTAAACAGACATTTTCTGTCAACAACACTTCCAATTTTAGAAACGTGTGATTTGAAGACACAGACGAGCACAACATATTTACTTAGTGTATTGTCATATTGGTTTTTATATCGATAAGTTGAAAGTCGACACCGCTAAAATACGAAGGACTGAAAGTATAGTTCTTGTGGTATCTATTTTACATTATAATATCAAGGTTTGTATATTATAATGCGATTAGTTCATCGCCAGTCACTTCAGGAGGAGGTGTGAATTAATTTAGCTAAACTGCGACATGGTCATCTTCCGCAAATACTACCCAACGTCAGGTAATGTTTCTCTCTCTCTATCTCTGTTTAAAATAGTTGGTAAAGCGACAGGGGCGGACTGGGACTAAAAAATAGCCCTGGCACTGTAGCCACACCAGCCCACATTACAACCCCGACACAGCCCCATCCAGGGACACGAACATTCACGACTTATATTGTTGTACAAGGTGAAATAATGTAAGTAGTACCATATTTTGTGCAGCAGATGTCCTTTAAGCTGAAACCCATCATTGGGAAACCCCTATACACGCACATTCACATAAATGCACTACGGACAATTAGGCCTACCCAATTCACCTATAGCACATGTGTTTGGACTTATGAGGGAAACCGGGAGAAAACCCACGCGAACATGCAAACTCCACACAGAAACACCAACTGACCTAGCCGAGGTTTGAACCATTGACCTTCTTGCTGTCGACAGTATCCTTTCGAGACTATTTCCGTTAATATTATGCATTTGGCATCGTCTGATTTTTAGAGCAATTTTTGGCTTTCTCTGGGCTTTTCAGCACCACCTTTCCTTTTTTTACGGTCCATCTCTGATAATTAGCTTGTGTTGCACTTACTGTTTGTTTGACATTATTTACGTCCACGTAACCTCTGATTGGGTTGGCCCATCTCGAAACCAGTTGGCTATTGCCGATAGGGCCAATGATTAGCATTTATTATTATTATTACCATCATCATCATCTTCATCATCATCATAACATCCACATCTAGCAAGAGATAAAAGCTGCCTGCATGTAAAAACAATACATATAAAAAAAAACAGCATACCGGCCCACATTTAAAAAATGGTCCGGCCCTTCTGGCATTTGCCAGAATTGCCAGAGGGCCAGTCCGCCGCTGTAAAGCGATGTCACCAAATATTTTGCCTCCACACCCCATAAGATGGGACAGCGCATCAGACTATGGCAGCTGGATAAGTCCGAAAAGGTGCAGTACTTTTTGCATGTGGGTATGTTTTAGTTCGGATCATGTTCTCACCACAAACGAATCGCTCCAGGGTTTGTTTGAAAGCATACCAAGACCACCTCTTCAAGGAGGTACACTTTTTTTGTAATGTAATGTGTATTTATATAGCAAATTAATTGTGCATGGACATACGCCCAAAGCGGTGACCAGGACACCGGGGTTACACCCCTACTCTTTACGAGAAGTGCCATAGGATTTTTAAAGACCACACAGAGAGTCAGGACCTTAGTTTAACATCTCATCTGAAAGACAGCGCTCACTGAGCAGTGTAGAGTCCCCTTCACCAGGGGCGTAGCAGCAAATTCTGGGCCCTGTACCCTCTCAATGTCAGTGGGCCCCCTACACATTTATTTTTAAATTATTTGAATATAAACATGCACAAATAGTGTTTTAATCTATAATCAAAGCAGATTATAATACTGAATGGTTCTTTCATTCACCACCAAATTGATGCATTTGGCCTACTTGTGCTCAAATACCTTTAAATCGTAGGCTACATCGGGTTTGTGTACTGACATTTTGATCCATGAAACTGATGCAAGTTTTGATTAAAAAACATTTATTTTTTCTCCAGAAGAGCAGCCAGGACTGGCCAGTGCTGCTACTGCTGGTGTGTCGGAACCACTGGTTGTTTCTGAAACTGGTTAATGTTGGCAACCTGGCGTTAGCTGGCCTGGCCCATAATTTACTTACAGCAAAAAGCAGCCTGGTTGACAAACTAAGCTAAAGATTTAACATTAGTATACATACATTACAGGGCTCGAAATTAACTTTTTTACTTGGTAGCACTGGTGCTCCCAACTTCAAAAAGTTAGGAGCATCCCAAAAAATTTAGGAGCACCCATTTTCTTTTTAGTTATGCGCCGATCTTGATTCTTAATGGCCGATTTTGATTAGCACACGTACATCTCGGAGATGTCTATTTGACATCTGCATTCACATCTGCAAGACATCTACAAGACGTTTCCTATCAGATGTGAAATAGACTTCTATTAGACATCTTTAAGATGTTTGCGATTCAGAATGTGTGTAAAACTGACATCATACAGACGTCTGCCAGACGTTTGTATACAGCAGGTGCTTTCCAGATCAAGAGATCTTTAACAGACATCTGGCAGACGTATACAGACACAAAATATCTAATACAATGGCATTTCAACCTTTATACCATTAAAAGGGATAAATCAAGTATATAATTTCTTATATTAGTATTACTTAATTGTTTAGATTTTTAAAAGGCACATTAACTTCTTTCACATTTACACATGGATCGATAATTGCAATAATTTGACTATAAACAGCTGAAAAAATTTATTGGAAATAAAAATTCATTCTCTGTCACAAGGGGGCGCTTTAGGAGCGCTGAAATATTACGGTTTCCCTAGTAATGACTGTACACAAATCAGCATTATATGCGACCAAAATGGTGTTATCAATATATTTTGAAATAAATAATGACATTGACATCAATTGGAGGGGCCAATTAATTCGAAGTAGGCTACAAAAAAAATAATAATAAAAAATTGGTGGGATTTCAAAGGGCCCTCTCTCTAGACGGGGCCCTGGGTAGTCAGGTCCACTTTTCCCCCCACTACCACGCCCATGGCCTTCACTATACTGGGGCATTAGGACCCACAAAGACCGCAGGTTGGGCACCCCCTGCTGGCCTCACTAACACTACTTCCAGCAGCAACACAGCTTTCAAATGTGGTCCAGCTTCCAGGTACAGACCGGGCACAGCCATGCTTAGCTTCCGTGAGTAACCAGTCTAAGGCTGCAGGTGACATGACTGTGGCTATGTTATATGTTGGTCCACTTTTGGTGCGCACTTGAGTGCGAATGCTGCATTCACACCAGTCCAAACGAATCGCACCAAGAGGGAAAACAAACTCTAGTGCGATTAATCCAA